TCCGCATAAATTCTGCAAATAATGAAATACCTGTTAAAGAAAGCCTGCTATTTTCAGGTTCTTCCATTCTAGTTACCCTGGCATTGTGATGGGGCCTTTTGTAAGAGTAAAGTCAAACAGTGCAAGTTCACGTGCAGGTTTCTAAAGAACAAACCCAACATCAGGATTTGGGCTTATGCTGTTTCTGTTATTTGTTAATTTAGAAGGAATTAAGAATATTTAATTGACTTCCATGGAAACTAATTTAACAGAGCTCAGGCTGACCATGTTTTAGAATCATAAAGAAATGCTGAAAAGAACAGAGAATCCACATCATTTTTCTCCATTCAAACTAAACATAAATTAAACTACTGATTTACACAAGAGATGACTCAAATTATCCAATAGAAGCAGCATTTTTTACCCTTTATTCCCATAGAGTTCTCCCAAAGCTTTTGATTTAGGAAAAAATAAATAAATAAATAAAAGAAATAAAGCTAAGTAAAAGGTTCTTTATTTGAAGATAAAGAATAAGAAAAAAGGTTCTTTATTTGAAGGTAAGGAATAAGAAATACAAGAGGGATTTATGTAGACTTTCCTCTTGGGAGGAAAAGTAAAGGACCCATTTGCTGGGTAGCTTTTTGTATTTCTGTCCCTCTTTCCTACTATGTCCCTCTTTGCCAGGGAACCAAAGAATTCTCTTCAATCTGTGCAAGTCACAGGTAGACGGTTATCCTGAAATAATCTGGATACTGCTCTCCAGGAAGATCTATAGTTAGGCAGGCTGTTCTTTTTACAAGGGAAAGTTACAGAAGCAGCCACTCAGACACTTGTGGAAGCTGAGTAGTTTACTTTGAGGCACCATCAGAGATATAGCACTGTAGTAGGCAAAAGGTCAGTACATTTTTTATTTGTTGTGAATTGCAAATTACGTCTCTTCTTGATCTTGCACTGTCTTGGATCTTTCACAACCAGTTTACTTTTGTGTTGCTTAGTCATATATAATGAATGAATTAGGATGTACAATCCTTACACAGAGAGATGAGAAAGCTTTTCTGACTTTGGATCAACAGAATCCCAAAAGCCAACACCTCAAAGAATTCATAAAAGTACCAAACACTTTAGATATTTTCTTTGATGTGCCTTTTAAAACATACTTTGATGTTTCTTTACTATAGGAATTTCTACCTTTTGTAGTTCATCATGTAGTATTGTTTTAGCTAAATAAGTAATTGTCATGGAGACAACCAAACCTCCTGCTGATAAACATTGACATATCACCAAGCGGATGAAGAAACATCTTTGTATTTGCACGCATCTAACAGAAGATGATTGTCAGTAAAATTGACCCCTAAAACACTGAACTTTTAGAAACTGTAGACAGATACTGTACTGTGATAAATGAGATGGCCTAAATGGTGATACTATCACTTATCGTTACCAGATTGGATGTCCTTGTAACTTTTTATCTATTTTTTTATCACTCACTTTCTTATCTATCTCAATGTTTATTTACTTAACATATTACTTTCACCCCTCTGTCTTCTCTGCCCCCTCAACTTCTTCCTCTCTTAATTGTCAATGAAAGCTCTTTTCCATTCCTCAGCTTCTCTCTGCATCATTTTATTTTATACTCACTGCTTTATCATAGTTTCTACATCATCAATCATATACTTTTTTAACTTCTGATCTATGAGAGGAAATAGAAACTTGTTCTATTCTTAAAACATCTAGATCAGTCTGTGCAGCTGTTTAGTGTCTTGCTCAAGCAGTGAGAAGTGTTCACTCCCTCAATCTGGAGTGAATAGAAGCTTTCAGTCTCCCATTCAGAAAAAAAAATAGGCAATGTGCTGTGGAAGCTTATGTTTATCAAGGTCATGTAAAGGTATGAAGTAAAAGGAGTGGTGCCATACATGGCAAAACTCTGTTGCTGTCTCACAGGTATGTAGTAAAACTGCAAACATATTTGCACAGAAGTAATAGATGAAAAAGAAGGTAACCAAGTGCAAAGTCATTTAGGTTTCCACTATCCTGTAGGGGAAATGAAGCAGATCCTTTAAAAGAAACACTGAAGAATCACTTAAAAAGTTAGGAGGGGAATGACTGAACAACAGAGTAGCATAAACCAATCGAGGACAAGACTTCAAAAGAGGGATTTAATTGTTTTGTAGTACTACAGATTATAAAGATGGTTTTCTTATTCCTAAGTCTGGCAAAGAAGAGAAGACCTCAAAAAAGAATTTAAAAGCTGGGAAGAGAAACTCCAGGTACCAAAAGCATCTGAGCTTTCAGCGTGCTCAAACTGGAAAAAACATGTAGGTGGTCCCTTATATATTCTACGGCTGTAACTGTGCGTGCTACGTGTAACAGTGTGCTCAAATGATGCATATCTTTTCTTCTTTATACATTTCAAAAAGCCAGTAATGTGCTATTTCTGTCCAATAACATTGCTGATTATCTTAAAAACTAAATAGCATGGAAGTAAGGACTAAAATATTCCAGCAGCCAAATGCTGTTTTGATTGTACTGAGAAACAAAATTTGACACAATAAAAACAAAAAGTGAGAGGGAGAGATATGAAAGATGTCTAATCTACGAAATGAAAACATAAATGAAGTAAAACATACTGACAAGTGAGGTGAAAAACTGAAGATGTTCCAGCAGAAAAGTTCTTGTAGAAAACCTCACCATTTCTGGCTACTTCTGCTATGATGTTAGCTACTTTTGCTGTGCAGGAAGACTGTGGCATCAACAGACTCGCGAACACCTGAAGAACTCCACTTTTCTGGATTTTTTCACTTGTCTCCGTATCTGAAAAACAGATCACACAAAAATGACTTAAGCATCAGCTTGCTTGGAGAAGGAAAAGGAAGAAAAAGAATGTAAATCTTCTCAAATGTAATTCTCAAAGTTATTGCTTTCCAATATACAAGCAGACATATTTCAGTGATCATGTTTGCTTTGCATGATGCATTCATGGAACTTTATACTTTGCCATTCGGAATCAATCTTTATGGGTGACTGCTTATAAGTAAATATACAAACATACTCATGCATGCACTGAGCCACAACTGGAGAGAGGGAGAAAGATTAAAAGCCATGGAGTGATATGATCTGCAGCAGCCTGAAACACTGTGTAAAAATCAAGGAATGGTGCTCTGAACTGTATAATTATGGAAAACATTCAAAGAATGATGGGGATATCCCAACATCTGAGGGCTCAGTGTAATGCAGAAATCAGAAACTGGAGAAGGAGAGCTAAGCAGATCCTAGTCTAGACCTCATTTATACTCAATATGTGTATCTTCTGTATTACTTTGCTAGGCTATGGTAGCTCCAACACAGTCCCAGTAGAAGGGAAAAGGAAAAATAACACTCAGATTGCAGATTTCAGAACAAATCATTTCCTCTTTCTGCCTGTTTTACAGAAGGAATTGTGCAGTTGCTCCATAGTAAAGGCCCCACATAGCATTACTAGCCTGCAGCTCTGTACAAACTGTAAATGAACTTTGATTCCCTGCAGTTAAAGATCAGGTACTGGATACTAAAACCTATCTTGCAAATGCTTTCAAATAGTTTGTGGTTTTGAGTTAAGTATTAGTGTGATAGACTATTAGATGGCAGCTACCGCTTCAGAATGCAGCATAGAAGCCCAGGAAGTCATCTGGAGTAGCAATGTGCAATCATTTCTTAGCTGTGCTTCACCTGCAAATAGTTAACAGCACGTCATTGGGCTCACCATCTCTTCTGTCCTCCTCTTCCCTCCTATTCCTATTCTCAGTGTTGCCATTGCCTTTTGGCCTCCAAGACAACCCACTTTAAGCGCAGGAGAGCTGCATTGGGCTCACCCTGCAGAGAATATGAATTAGAGGGGAGAATTCAAGTCTGGCTTGCAATTCTGCCTGAGCTCTGTATTTGTTGTATTTGTTCTCTTGCGATGTTGGTCTCTGACTAGGACCACCCACTACAATATGGTGACATCTGATCACCAACAGATTAGGTAAAAACCAAAGATTGATTAATTTCAACATACACATAATGTACTAGTTGTTACTGATCTATTTGCAATCTAGTTAACTGATTTTTTAACATGTATTGAGAACTCCTCTCAGAAGATCCCCTGTAAAACAACTTCCAACTGATATGGAAACTTTTTCAAGCTCTGACATTAGCATATGCATTGTTAGCTATGTTCTCCCATGGATATGTATGAATGAAATGAAAGTTTGAATTCAGAGAAATCGTGTCAAGATTACAGACTGTTCCAGACACAGTCTATTAAAGGAGAGATGACTCTCCCTTGAGTTCAAAATTGAAAGAACAAAAATGTAGGTATCTGTGAGCCCAATGTGATTTTAACCACAGTTAGTAGGCAGGAGACATTAATGCATTTTTCTCTACTGTGCTGCTGAGACATACAGTCTTATTTTATGAGCTGTAGTTTGATGGACTTATTACTGCCAAAAAATAAATTACACAACTGGAACAAAATATTTCCTGCAAGAAATGGGAAAATAAAACAAAGTGCTTCTCCAGGCCAGGTGTGTGTAGCAGATAGGCTCTGATTTATTTTATTCTCATAAGTAAGCGTGTATCAGTAAAAACACGGTGCATAATAGACCTGTTGTAAATTGAGATATTAGCTACCTGGTATCACATAGATGAAAACAGGACATTCACTTCCATTTTCTTTTTTTTTTTTTTTTAAGATCTTGAGCAGTACAGGAGCCACACCTGTATACACTTCCTCCTTCAGAAAACCAACATCCCGTTGGTTCTGGCTGAGCACCAGTGTCAAAACTTTGCTTGTTACAATGTGCTGAAATACACTGATTCATTTCTTGAGATATACAATTAAAAGACAATTTAGGTATGGAAACTCAGCTTTTTTTTGGAGGGCTTTTGAAACTCTTACAGAAGGAAGGGTATTTCAATTGCAACAACTTGGCTTATATATAAACTTTAAGTTGCTTTGTTGTATCTAGCTTTTTTGCTCAATATTCTTTGTATTTTTCTTAAAGAAGGAGGACTTGACGACAAGCAAATGATACATGGACATGCCCTGTGGAAAGCAAGACATCCAAATGAAGATCTTCAGCAATTATTTCACTTGACTGAAGAGTCTCCTGAACATTCGCTTTCCAGGTACTAACAGTTCAAACATGTCTCTAGAAAAAAAATAACAACTTGGAGGTTTTAAAACAGGGATTTGGCAAGAATTGGAAATTGGTACTCCTGAATTCTTCCCTTTACTCTCTTCATGGACTGGAACAGGTCTGCTTTCTTGTTTCTCTGTGTATGCAAGAAAGAAGTAATATTTGCAAAAGATGCGTATCTGCTGCATGCTAGCTTCATTCTGGGCTTCCTAGTAAATAATTTGAGGCTATATTATTTTGGAATCTTATTTCAGGTATCATCTTTTGAATTGTTTCAATGTATTGTCAATTGTAGCTGAGACATGTAAAAACAAACTTTTCTGCAGGAGCAAGTGAGATCTAGACAAAACCTCTGTGATGTAATCTCCTTTTATGCTTTCTGTAATGGTGAAAAAGGGAAGTATAGCCAACATTAATGATGTATTAACAAGCTGCCATTTTAACTCCTTCAGCAGAACTATACTTCCTCACAAATTTGTTCAATTTCTGTGCTAAGAAAACCTGACAACCTAGGCTGCCTGATATTAGGGTGCTGTACCTCAAAAAATCCTTTTGCTATAAATACACATCCAGATTACATCTGCTTTCCTTTAAAGCCTGATTTTCAACTTGCAAGCACAACCCACCCACAGAGTACCTACTGATCTTATCTTGAAGGAAAGGAACTGTAGGGCTGTGATAATGCTACTTTAGAAACAGTCCTTTTGCACACAATACAGTATAATGCTGTGCCATGGCAAGCATAATTGGAGGAAAAAACCCTAAGGTCAAACCTGCAGCTTTGGATGTCTTTTCCTATCACTAGATATCAAGATGAAGAATATGTTAGATCACACAGTGCCAAAATCTTATTAATGTCATAATAGTGTGATTAAATTGTCAATATCTTTGCTTTTCATGGTTTTTGCAGTGCCTGCAGTCAGAATAATAAAGGGTGTGAGCAGGAAATTCTTTAATGTCGTAGATCAGAATGGGAGAGCTGAGCACCAGGGCTATCAGAGTGCTTAATTAAGTAGCAGAAATCATTACAGGAAAAAATCCAATTAGATTGTACGCTCTCCTCTCTTGGCTCTATTTCCTGTTAGGTTTTACTCCTCTCTGTATCACTCTTTTCTCATCTCTGCATCATTTTCCACATCTTCAAGTGAAAGAAAAGGCAGGGAGCAGGAAGGAAAAGGTTTATCTGTCACAAATACTGCTACTTTGCGCTCACAGGCAGCAGAAAAATATTGGTGCACAGTTCGTTTGAACAATGAATTTAAATTGTACTACTACATGGTTTTTTTTCGGTGCATACAACTTCTCATTCCAGCAGAAAAAGAGTATAAAATAATATAAGTGAGGGCTATCACTGCAGCAATGCCTGTGTTGTAGAGCTTTACATGAGAGAAGAACCGTAAATGAGCAGCTCCATTAGTGTCCTCTTTATTAAGCCAACCGTGTTTGCAGAGTACTTTTTTGAAAAATGTACGTATTTCTAGCTGAAGAGATGTTTTATAAACCTCCAGAAACCACTGTAGGAAGTTGCCACGGCTTTATAATGTCCCTGTCACATGTGCTCTCATCAGAAAGAGGAGGATGAGCATATGAATAAATAATAATGAGCCACATATATAACAGGAGAGGAACCTTTCATCGGCTCACTCACATAGCAAAATGGAAGGCGCAAGAGATGTATTCCTAACTGGTACATCCTCTATCCACCACAGTAGAAAGAAAAAAGAAAAAAGGTTCACGTGACCAAGAGCTCACATGGTATTCTGCCTCCCTGTCTCTCTGTAGCCCTCCTGCTGTTTTTTTCCATACCACAAAATGGGAGATTTTGGTCTGACTAAATGAATGCAAAAAGAGCCTCTGGAAAACAAATGATGTGATCTTCTGCAACAAGGTCTACATCACAGAGGAAGGAGCCAAAAAGACCACTCCAGTAATTTTTTTTTTTTTTTAAAGAAAGAATATATACAATTAATACTATATAAAAAGAAAGAAAGAATATGTACAATTAAATGCATAAATATATCTTCTGTTGGCAGCTCCTCCCCATAAATATAATCTGCTTGCTCACACATCCTTCAAATTAAAGCCCTAAGAGGGAGGGAGGATTCTCCATCAGCTTTGTGAACACTTTTATCATGGAGTTTGCTCTGTTCTGTCTAAGGCAGCAGCAATAGGGCAACTTCAGCTCTCATTTTTAATGAAGAGAAGGAGATAGTGCACAGATGTTGGTAATTAAAATCTCAGCTCTAACAAGGAAGGACGGACAGATGGAGAGACCAATTCACCAACCAGCTAGCTGCATGATTCCTGCTGATTAAATTCTCCAGGAGCAGTATCCAAAGAATAAAAAACGAATTGTAGGATGAGACCCATGCCTTGAACAGCCTGTCGCAGGTACCAATGAAGTGAGTTAATAAACATACACACCAGCTTTGCCTCCCATGAAGAAATATGCACATTAAAACTTCCATGGGTGCTTTTCAGCACAAGGCAGCATATTAACATTAAGCAGCTAGGATTCTCTTATCCTGAACTGTATCTAGTTTAGCACCCAGATATGTGGTTTGGTGGATTTATTTGAGCTCTTAATTCTCCCTGTCCACCTTTCTGCAGGAAGTAACCACTTTAGTAGCCGAGTTGTTTAAATAGTTTGATAATTAGTGCCTTAGTTACCTTCTTCATTGCCCGGCATCTTAGCACAAATGTCATCCGTGAGCGATTCTATGTTTCGTACTCAGTCTGTGTGGACATTTTAATCTGCCTCCTCCACTACTTGTACTGGGTTCAATACAAGACCTTGGGTAAAACCTTAAGCACCCCCTCATGCGTTAGTTTTTCAGTCTGTACAACAAAAATACAAGGCCCATAGCGTAAAATCCTTTTTCCACATTTAGTTAAGTTCAGAAATGAAATGAGATTTAAAAGCTGTCTACTATACATGCAGGAAATGTTTCATATTCCTTTAAAGCAATCTCTTAAGAGTGCTCTCAAACAAGATCAAATGTCTACTGAAAAATTATCCCCAGTGCTTACTGGGCAACTGCCTACAAACAAAGGTTTTTTTCTTAGCCACTGATGTTTCAATAAAGTTTTGTTGCCAAAGCAGCATAAGGAAAAGCTTAATCTAAAAAGAAATCATATTTGTAAGTCATAAGGGACAGAGCTGCCAAAGCTAAGAATGAAAAAAAAAACAAAAACAAAAACAGAAGAGGCCTTTTCCATTGCTTCTGCTCTGCACTTCAAAAATCTAACCTCAAAAAAAATATTTTTATATTCTATTACCTGAAACTACTGTTCACTGAAGTCTTCTGAGAAGAAAAAATATTTAACACTTAATCTTTATTTGGCACATTGTATATACAATGAATAGCCCTTGGAATTTAACACTTGGATAAACATCATTTAACTATGTGGCACTAACAATACACATCACTATTAAGGGGAATTTATGTAAAATATAACCCTACTAAGCAGCAGTGATTACCATTCAGTATCATTAAGCTAAGCCAGTTTACTGGGAGACAGTCCAATAAAAAGCAGTTGCTTTGATTTAGTATGTTGAAATTAAATATGTATACTGTAATAATGTATAATACACAGCATTTGTGTTGAAACATTTCTGCATTGTGTTATACGGTGCCTTGAAAACACAGTTTCATGAGCTAAGATGCAACAAGCATCTGCAGCAAAAAGAAGGAACAATTTATAACACAGTATTTGAGACAAAACTCCCTTACAAAACATCCATCAGGATTCCCAGTTTTCAGAAAAGCATATGACTGTAAGTCTTATTAACTAAACTTATTGGACTTCAATGAGCTTAACTGGCTGAGCTGGCCCAATAAGATTTGAACTTCTGGCTCTGCTACAAGAGATCATCTGTACCCAAGGCTGACTAGAAATTCTAGCTTGTCTGAATATGTAAGTCTAAGATGTGGTCATTTCAGTTTGGCAGTTTCCCTACCAACAAACCCCTACTGCTAAAGCAGCTATTCTGCCAAAAGCTAGAAAAACAAGTAAGGTGTTTTTGCTGGGGAATGTTACTTTCAGAGGGATGTGATGTAAGGTAGTGTAGCAAAGGAATATTTTAGCCAATAGAAACAGCATCTGTTCTAAGACAGTCTTCATCTTTTCCAAGCCTTCTCTAGCAGAATATAAAGCCTTCCTCAGAGTTTTATGTACCATCTTCATTTTCTCATCAAAACTCACTCTATGAAAATGCTCCTGTCAAATTTCTTCCCCTGTAATTCGCTACCACCTAGACTTAACATCTCTGTAAACACACGACTGATTTTATGCTTACCAATCAAAATATCTTTTGTCATGAGAAATACTCCTAATTATGCTAAATGATATCTTATTTCCTGCTAATTGGATGTTAAATGTAATTCAACTATAAATGCTGAATGCTTATGTTATGCTTTTTGCTTTACTTTTTATTGCATTATATTCCCCGTCACGGAGACCAGGTTTATATGATGCTCAGCAAAGACAGTGTGCTAAGAAATAAACTTTCAAGAGAGAATACTTTTCTTGACACCTGCTGTCATATAAGAATCGAGACTGATGGTGCTGCAAAACAAAGCAATTGAAAAAGGAGCGGCTTTATATCCAAATGTTTGAAGTACTCTGTCATCCACAAGGGCTGCTCTGAAAGTAATGCCTCCTATATTATTGTCCCATAGCAGATGAATGGTGGTATGGCAGCAGAGGCTGAACCTTCCCAACCAATTCCATTACATTCTGTTGCCTTTTAACAGGTGGAGCAGAGGGGCACTCTGACTCAATGGCATCTGACATGGGAGTGCGTATGAATGCAAATGTGTGTCACTGAATTCCTCCATATGGAAAAAATGGCACCCGGTGACATTTACTGACACTTGCTGAACAGTTATGGAGACCAAAGAGTGGATGTGAGCACAGTGAGGCAGTGGGTGGTGTGTTTCAGTAGCAGTGAAAGTGCCATGAAAGACAAGCTATGTTCCGGACAGCCATGCACAACAATCATACCATGAAATGAAGAGTGCCTCAATCAGCTCATCCTCATAAATTGGCTAACAGTGGTGACTATGGTGAAAAAGAAAAAAAAAAAGCAAAAAAAAAAAAACCAAAACAGCATGTTGTAGCTGAGAATTTGCTCTATAAAATAGTGTTATTGTGCTCTTTGTAGCTGTTGCAGTTTTCATGGAAATAAAATGGAGGCATTACTTTTGGAGCAACTTACGCACATAACTTTTTGCAAGTTATAACTCAGGCTCAATGGGACTAACAGTACATAGGAATTTGTCCTTAAAGGTAAGAATATTGGCAAATGCTGGCAGTGTCACAACCTTTCTTTCTATTTCTTGTACTAATTTTACTCTGTTCTCAACTTTCATGCAGCAGTAACTGAGTGAAATCAGTAGAAATTCTGAGTGTGAGCAGCTGCTGCAGAAGGCAGTGGGAGTTATGGAGATTCAGCATCCATCGCCACTCAGGTACCTGCATTTAATTTGATGTCTTTCTTTCAAAAATTTTAACTTTACATCTGTCCTGCCCTTCCTTTATTTCTTTCCTTCCTTTAAAAACATGCACTGCTTTTATTCCTTGCCACTCCTCTACTTAGTCTCATATTTTTCCATTTCTACTCCCCCTCCCTCTCTTGGTTTGAGTAGACAGATTTAATTAATTATCTCTGCATCACCGAATCCAAAGACACTGGGTCAAGACTTAGCAGCTGCCAAACAAATACCACTTCATGTCTCCAATATGCACAGAAAATGTGCTGTTCAAGGTGCTACAGGTAGCTCAGTGCTACAGGGCAAATACTTCTAATGTTGGCCTTGATTCTGCTACTTATTAATAAGCCAACAATTAACTGGTATCATTGTTTGCTCACTCATTTTGTGTTCTCCTGCCATTGTTGCCTGCTGGTTTGTGTTCTTGCAGCTTACTTGTTAGTAATGAGGATTAAATTGGTGAGTGCTCTTACGTGAAATAACAGTATCCAAAAGTTAATCCTACCCGTGAGTGTCAAAATAGTGCCTATAGGTGGTTACTGTTTTATTTCAGGCTCTAATGCTGTGCAGAGGTTCACACTGTTACTTGATAACAATCCACATGAAATGACACATCTCATCTTACTCTCACTCTGCTCAAATCTGACTGCAAAACTGGAGAAGTTTATGGCCAAGTTTGCTTGAGCAAGCTGTGAAATGCTCAGGTTTTCCTCTATACTTCAGGAAGGGAAATGAGTTAGCTTAAAATGCCTCCACAATTGGAATGAATGAAATGTATATGTAATTCTTATTTCTTAGAATAACTCTGCTAGGATTGAACATTCTACAAATTATTCTTTTCTGTGTTTGGGGTGGGAGAGTAGCCAAGCTTTTACTTTCCTGGGAACAAAACGTGAAATGACCCATGCTTAAACACTAAACAGGCACAGAACTTTTCTAAAACCACATGGCAGTTTGATGTGCTAAAAGTTCAGTTTATAGGTGCTTGTCTGACTTGGTGAAGAATGAAATAAGAGCACGTATGTTGAACTGCCCAAAATGTACAAAAAGGAAATAGAAAATATAGGTAAATTTTTAAAAAAGTAACTTTTCCCTTGAATCAAAGGCATTAGTGGTGACATTTGAAATATTTCAGAGAAGTGTATCTTTTTAGTATAAGTATGAATTTAGCAATTACAAAAAATTATCTCTGAATTCTTTGTGATTTTGCTGCTTGAGTACAGGAATTGTTTTGTCTTCTATGACCAGTGAAGATCAGAAAAAGTAATGTCAATTATAGGAAGAGTGTAAGTGCTAACTAACTCAACAACATATGAAAGCCAGTTAAAAAGAACAGAACATAGTGAAGAATTTCCAACTCAGATATAACCTCTGTGTTAACATATGGTTGTGAAAACTGGAAATCCACCAAGACATAAAAAATGGGAAAGTAGATGCCTTTGGAAGCAAATGCCTACCGGAGATTTGGGACATAGGACAGCAAGTCTCATCTCTGAGGAAGGAATGTGAGAAATCAGCAATCTCTGCTGAAATCCAACATTTTCTTCAGCAGATGCTAACACATCCTCCTCTGTGATGCCATCAAATAGGAACCACGAGGTTTTAGAAAACCTACTGCTGACTTGCATGAGAAAACCTGAACAGAAGGTTTAGGTAGGAGGGCTGAGCTCATGATCTTGACACCAGAAAGCTGAAACAGCAGGAAGTGATGGAAGAGATCTACTAGCAGTTGCTTGGAAAGTTTATAATGTATTTTCTCTGATGCAACATAGAGAATGTATCCAAATCAAAACAGGGCAGTATGTAGCCAAAATACGTTTTTGAGGAAAAAAAAAAAAAAAAAAGTACAAAGTAATTATACTCATTATGGGAGGAAAAGTGTCACAGCAAAGGAGCTGTGCAAGAAATGTTGAAATTAAAAATTTCATGAGTAATTTGACAGCTTCTTGAGTTATCAGGGATTAGTACAGTTCCTCAAATAGAAAACTGCATATCTTAGCCAATCACATCTCAAGGGGAAGTGTGTTGCTTTAAACCTTTCTCATTGCACCGTAACTTCTTCCGAAAACGAGGGCCTTCCCTTCTCATTTAAGCATATCTCTATTGGTGTAATTCTGCTTTAGCATTTTTACATAGAAATGTGTGAACTCATAGGCTTAGATTCCAAAAAATGAAGTGTAAAAAATATTTGGAAATGTGTGTTGCTTGCCTTTCTGCTTCAGTCACATGCCAGACACTTTTCGGAGCTAGGTGTTGAAGGCTGGGATTAGTGGGCATTTTCAGCCTCTTACACTGAGTGTATCAGAGCCAAAAATAACGTTCTCAGCAGATTTGGAGATTCCTCATCTGTCAAATCTGGGTTATGTATGTCTGCTCTAACCTCTTGGATCTGAAATGCAGCATGTCTGGACTAGCAACAACATTTTCTTTTTTCTTCTTTTATTTTTTTTTCTTTTCTTTTTGTTATTACTGCAGTAATTGTCACAGAAGCTTTCAAAGAAAACCTATATTTCTTTCTCATTTTCTTTTTCTCATGCAGTCCTTTTTTTGTAGACCTCTATTTGAGGATCTCAGGATAACTATTTTTTTGATAGATGCAGTATTTATGAGATAGCGCTTAGTGAGTATAAATCACTACACAGTGATATGCAGTGAAGGATATTGTCTTCTTTTGTATTTTCTTTACAATTAACCTACTGTTTCCTAAATCCAACAGTATATAGTCATGTTTTTATAGATGTCAAAAATAAAGCATTTTCTACTTCTCACAAGTGAGAATTATGTAAGATTATAAGTATAACCTTTCAAAATACTTTTATCCAGTGCAAAAGTGCTTTAGCCTTCTTCACCCCCCCACCCCCACCTCCCCATTTTTATACAGCAACACCCCTAAATTCCTAGCTGCAATGCATATGTTCAGAGATTACATTTTTCTGTCAACTTAGGCAGTCATTGGTTGGAAAGCATCTGAGCCAATAAAATCATAAATGGATGAAATTATATCCATTGTCTCACAGAATTTTTCCTACATAAAACAATTTAAGTTCAAGTTACTGTGTCCTTTGAGTTATTACAATAATGCTACACATAACATTGTGCTTTTAAAATAAAACTCCTGAAACCAAATAATTGTCTCCTTTTTCCTAACAAAGATTTTTTGGCTCCAAAATAGAAAATAATTTGAACATGTAATAATCAGGTACAATTTATTATTCAAAAAGCAATAACGTTCAGTAATGAAAGCCTAATGATGCCACTAGAGACAGTATTTAATACTGCCATTTTTCTAGTTGAATTGGCAATTTCAGTTGGACAGGAAAGCAAACAGACTCCCCTACATCATCAGCGATACTTTCACTTCCATTTGTACATAGGGGAAAAACATCCTTCTGTAATTGTAATTAGAACAGAAACACAAAATACCCTTTGATTTCTAAGTTGCTGGTATGATGAAAATTTAGCAAAAACATCAGACCAAATATACAGCTTTGCTAACTACATCCAAGATATGCAGGCAGACAGCCCTGCGCTGCAGACACGCTATGCTGTTTGAGTGTGGTCAGAGGGCAGGCTGATGTCCCAGGGGAGGAGTGTGCTTCTCATTCCACTGTGAACACAGGCAGATGAGGAAAGCACTGGAATGGGCTGCCCAGGGAGGTGGTGGAGTCACCTGTTCCTGGAGGAGTTAAGAAATGTGAAGGTGTGGTACTTAGAGACGTGGTTTAGTGTGCATGGTGGTGCTGGTTAGTGGTTGGACTAGAGGATCTTAGTGCTCTTTCTGACTGTGGTGATTCTATGAGTCTATGACACGACCATGTTTCTCTAAGAAAAATGCATTCAGAATCACACACCAGTGTTCTTTTTCCCCCAATTTCCTCCTGTAATTTTTTTCTGCAGATTTTAATTCTTTTCCCTTTTTCTTTACAGACATTAAAAAGCAGCTACAACCATAAGCTTTCCATTACTCTAGGCTACTTTGTGGATAAGAGGGAAAACAATCCCTGTTTATAGAGGTCTCAACTTATAATGGAGGGAATTCTATCATTCTAAGCACAAAATGAAATCATATTTTCAATGCACAGTTAATGTTTTTTTTTAAGCTGAATTGAACAAGAGGTACAGAACCTCAGAATCAAATTCACTCACAAAGTAATTTCTCTTTTTTCTCTGTCTTTTCCCATTGCTATGATAATTCTGCACTTCATATGACAGTAAACAGCCTGCTTCTGGATCAGCTGAATTCCTTCTTGACAATAACACACCAAACCATGCCCATAAATCTAAAATGTGGAGCAGACAGTGGAGTCATTTCTTTAATATATAGTTTTTAAAAGTCAAGACACGGTAAGTGAATTTCATCTTCTGATTTGGTAGAAGGCAGTATTTCATTCAGTGCACCATCAAGCACCACAGCCTGCTACGGTCTGCACTTCAGAGATCTGAAGCACAGGACGTTTATCTGTTTAGAGATGATGAACACTGGTGGATGGAGAGAGATCAAACAATTGTGTTTTCCTTTCAGAAATATGGTGGACAGAATGGCTGCAAAGTCCCTAGCTATGCCAGTTGTCTTCACTGAGAATGATGAAAGAAGTCCCCAAAATAAGGTATGTTTTCATTATTGTAAAGCATTTGCAATGTGCACTTAGCTCTTACTCCTCTGCCATCGTTCCTTCTTACAGCTTATGGCCCTTAGTTTTGTCTAGTGGCTCTAGCTTGTTAAAATATGACTGGTCTCACCAGAAGCACTGAAGAAATAAATGTCCTCATAAACAGGGATAATAATCTCTCCAAACAATGTCTCCTGAAGAAACCATCTGTGCAAGATTTTTAGACCCAGGTGTCAGATGTGAAGGGCTATACAGCCATCTCTCTAGACAAAACAGTAGCTAAAAACAATTCAGTTTGACCTGCAAATTGTTTATTGGCAGCTATCACAGATCGTTATTTGACTTACCCTTGTGTTCTGTTGTACGTGTATATGCACATGCCTTAATTTGTTTGGTGTGACAAATGGCAGAATAGCTCATCAGGCTAGAGAAAAGGGGTGTCGTGTTCTCTGGCACTACAGCCTGTCTGCTATTATCAAAAGATGGGTTGGCAAGAGTTATGAAAAAAAAAAAACAAAAACAAAAGGAAAGTAGAAGGTTACATAAAAAGAAATTAAAAGCTATAACATTTATCACAGCTTTGCCATCTCTTTCTATGTGACACATAATATGGGATTGGAAGAAAGTGATTTGTAACCTTTTAACAATAAAAAGTTCAAAGATTGCATGCAAAGCAAATAGAACCAAAACTGTTGATGTACTGCTGACAGATGAGATTTCCTTGTGTTCCTGCAGCAACCAGAAGACTATGCTGCATGCATGCAGGCAGCAACTAAAAGCAGTGAAATAGTCTGAGGAACATTCTTACATACATGAGGCAGGTCTGCATTGAACTTGTGGGAATTAAACATTTTTATTTGCTTTGTTGAAATCACAATCTTACACTGGATTTTTGGCTGGTGTTAGATGGGAATGGGTTCCATCAGAGTAATAACATTACATTATATTTTACACACGACATATTGTTTATGTTCCTAAGTCTGAATGAAGTGAATTGAACTTAAGTTACATGATTTAAGATACTATGGTGAACTCTCAATGAAAACACAGTCCTAAAAAATTTCCTTTAAATACGCTCTATTTCTCACATAGTTTATTTTTCTATTCTTACTCCAATATGATGATTTACTGAACTATAATCAGAATGTAAATTTAATTAATATAATCATACACATGGGAATATCCTAAAGGAAAGTAGAATCATTATTTCAGAAATCTTACTATTTTTTACCTGTTACAGTATAAACAGTCTGACTTCTAATTATTATTACTCACCTTCTACATTTCTTTGAAGGCTTCCTGGTGGAAACATTTCTATTTTAATGTTATCTGAAAACACACGTAATGGAACTTTCCCATATAAAACATATTCCATGTTATCTCCCTAGACATTATTTAATTCTGCCCTCAAAAGAACAGACTAGTTAGGAATCAATCATTATGGCATTATTCCATGAACTCTGGGGACTCTGTATGTCAGTATGCAGTCTTTGGAGAAGCCCTCACAAACTTCACTTATCATAATATATAGGTATATAACCATATATGTGCATGTATATAAACACACATATGCACATATATATATCTGAGTACATACAGTCAGGAAAGGTCAGAGAATCAGACTTATTAGTCCTCTAAGTTCTGTTTTAATAGCTTATTCTCAAGATATCCAAACGTGACATGTCTGGAAGAAACTTAATAATGGTACACTTTTGCCCTGTAGATCACTCGTTCTTCTGTTCCAGCTCATTTCAGGCAAATCAAGTTATTTAAAAAATAAAATTGATTTAAAGCATCAAAAACTTTGCTTCAAGAAAAAAAAGAACACCATTTTAAAATGACAGGATGGTTATTTGACTTCAGTCTGTTTAAACTATGTTCTCTGAAAGGGATAGAAGTCATCTCTTAAACCATTTTGGCACGTTGGCTTGCTTTGTCTTAGCTTTATGTGTTACTCCTAATATCTACGTTAGTAAACTTGTCAATGATAAAACATTTGTGATTGTTTAGCCCGAAATCTTCTTTGTGTGAGACATACAGATACATAGAGACGTACTGATACACAGACACAGCTTCTGTCATATCCTCATGATATTACCATATATGCCATCTATATATATCTGATATATAGTGTGCCAAATAAGTGAATCTATGTTAGGAAGTTAGCTGAATGGATGAGAACTATTAGAAAGGACATTCATTGGCTGCTTGGTCAAAGAAGATGGATTTTCACAATATATTGTTGGCAGTATATTATTGTTGATAATAACTAGGATGTTTAGAAGAACAATTACATAATATAAGTACGCCTTGAACCCATCGATTGGATTGGTTTAAACTCCAGAGGGATTATAGCTGTATATGTAAAACTACCCAAAAGAAATGGGTCAAAATCTTAATCTGTTTATCTGATTTAGCAGCCACAAGACCAGAAGAGAAAAGATTCTGGAAGGAAGAGCAAAGCCCTAGACCATGATAGAAGAGTCATCTGGCTGCAAGGAAGTGCTGGTATGTTTGCTGTACATTAGAGAAAATTATTTTGCGTCTGCTAACCTTGTGCTGTTACAAAATTATGCAACTTTCATCAGCAAAATGATAATCTGTGTTAATTATGCTAAATACATCATCATTTTTTCATACAATTTCCTTTTAATTAAGCTTCAGATTAAGTATTAGATTTAGAAGTATTGGAAATACCAAAACCAACAGAAAATTGGATTAAAGTATTGGTTATGCCTAATAAATAAGTCCATAACAAAAGTGATTCATCATTTTCACAAAAGTGGGCTGATCTCTGGCTGAATCTCCCTGAAGAATAATTAAAATGAAAAAAGCACTACTATTAAATGCAAAGACTGTTGTTATCCATGTGACATCTTTGATGTGATACGAATGGGACTTACGTTCTACTGTGACAAACCTCATGAATTATTTTACACCAAGAAAGCCAAAAGGCTGTGATTTGTAGAATAACATGGAGAAGAAACAAAGATTATCAGTAGTACCTGGAGTAAGGACACACATTTCACAGCTTTTGGGGGATAAAAACTAACCAAACTAAAAAAAAAAACAACCAAGCCATGCAACAAAAAAAAACCATTTTGTTTCATTCTTAATTTATCATTTATCTATCATTTAGATAGCCAGCCCATTTCTGCTATCTGAAACAACTGGCAATAAGAAATGTTGATGTATGAGAAATGATGAAGTATGAGGAGAAGTAACCAACTACCAAGAGGAAACAACACTCTCTTCACCAGAATTAGCAAGCAGCTCCTATATCCACTCTACTTGTCCTGTTAGGCCCATTTGTCCATCCTTGTCCTATCCTCAGTTGGGAAATTTCTTGTACTACTTCAAAATACTGGAAAAATGACTAAACAACAACTGTTTCAAATAGCAGGTATTTACTTATCACTGCCTTCATTGCCACCCAAGTGTCGCACATGGGTGTTTAAAAACAAACAAACAACAACAACAAAAACTCTGAACAACCAATCTAGCAGCCAACTGCTTGCATGAGGTTTTAGCCACAATTTATTAACTCTCTTTTTATTCACTGATACCATGGTATGATTAAAAATTGAATGGTCCACAGAACTTACTGTTTTGTGCCAGAGCTTGAAGCAGACAGTCCAAGCATCCCTCCAAGCTATCTGCTGTGCTGTCAGTGGCTGTTATCTTCAGCTTTTTCAGGGCATCACTTAGATTATCTGCTTGGTAAACACAAAGAAAAGAGAAATCAGTGCCATTTGGTAACAGCACTGAATGTAAACAGTGACTGTAAAGTAAACAAAGTTCTGTATCAGTGAAGAAGGAATTAATGTTCTGTATTCTGGGGATACAAAAAGCCGGGAGTCAAAGGGTACGCATGAAATTAAACTTTTCAGATTTACGCATGCATTTATCCTCCTGCATCTGAGAGCAGGACGCCAGCAGGCACTTTATGAAATGCTGCTGAGCAGCAATTTAGCCATCAATATTCTCTCAGCTGAGTTGGTTTAAAGAACCGGCAGCAGTATCTCTGCTTGTACACTTCTGCATAGAAAAAAATATGATGGAATTAAGTACAGTTTGAATTTTTGCCATCAACAATGGGAAAATAATTGACAGTGCCATTTCCTGTGTGCTGTGTATGTTTCCATCTTGGCTACGCATTCACAAAGCCTCAGTGCTGAGCTTACAGCCTTTTAAGGATTATGCCATTTTCCACCGCATTGTTCTAAGTGCAAGAGCTGTTTATATGAACTGTGCTAACTCTTTAAATTTAATCCAACCATAAAAATATAAGGCATCTTCTAGAAATAAGAAACTTCTTGTGTAAATTTCAGATAATTAAATAACCCTTCCTTCTCCAGGAGAAAAGAACAACCACAAATGAACTCAAACCACGTAATGCAACTCTCAACAGCCGCCCATTTATTCTCGTAGAAGTTAGGGCAGTATCGCTGCTGCCATTTTGACCATTCTCTGTATTTGGGAGTGAGGCAGCAGTGTTGGCAGCTGCCGGCCGAGTCTCCTTGCTTTGCTCACCGATGACTACCCTGGTGCTGAATGGGCTATCCTTTAAAACACAAGTGCTGAAGCAGTTTCCATGCCAACTCTCTCAGTAGGCAGGAATTGTTACTCCAAACAAATAATGCTAAATAGTGTCTAGCCGCCTACCATTCCTGAGTGACTAATTAGAAAGCCTTCACCCAGCCCTACAGAACCACAGGAAAAGCCACACTTTCCCTGCTCCTCGCTTGCCCGCATACAAGATGGTGCCAAGGAAAGGAGGCACAGCTGGAGCTTCCCTGTTGCTGCCATTATTTGCCTGTTAGGCACTGGCAGCCCGCTGCAGAATCAGGATGTGCAGCATGGAGGGAGAGAAATTGCGCTCCTCCTAGAGCTGCTCTGCTTCTCAGCCTGAGCTGAGGCTTTCATCCCACTTCCATTTTGCAGCCCAATATCCCATTGAGATAAAAGTATGACGCTTCGTTTTTAAAGTTCCCAGTGTTTAGGTATGAAATTGTTTATCAGGCAGTTCATTTGTTTGCTCACTAATGTGCACGTTCTTAGCTACTCTACAGACAGGAACTCTATTCCTCCTAAATTCAACTCTAAAGCCTCTGGGGAAGCTGTGCATGGTTCTGCTCCCTACCACCTGTCCTCACTCTCCTTGAACAAGCCAGCAAGAAAGAAAAATTTCTCCAGTATTGGCTTATGGTACTGCCCAGCAGCCTTAAATACAGCATGTTTATTGAATGGCACTCCATCAACAGCTCAACATGCACTGCCATGTCAGAACCTACCATAGGCAGTGAGAATGTCTCCCCATCTCTTTTCCTACAGCCCCACTTTCTGCTTCTTTTTTCTGGGGAATGTCTGCTATTTTAATATTCTACCCTTACATGTGGTATGCAGCATGATGTAATTTTCAAATGTGATCAACTAAATATTTCAATCTCTGGGATAAGTGACTCAATTTGTCATGATACTGAGCACATGTGCATCTCACTGACATACATGCACACCTAACTTTTAAAAATCAGTCAGTGCTTTTGGCAATAGTACGCCATATTACTTTTAAAATGTTGCAATATAAACCAAATTGTCATTCTCTAGATGAGATTAGATTTTCTAAGTACTTTTAAAATACGACACAGAGAAATTAAATTAGAAACCATAGGCATAAACTGTGTTTTTAAAATAAATAATGATACTACTTGAGCTTCTAACAAGGCTACAGTTATAAACCTATTGCATCCTTAGACATATCTCTTATTCTGTGCAAAAAAAGAAAACACAAGTAGGAATACTGCAGGAACACCAGACCTCTGGCCACAAAATCAGAAAGCCACAAGGACAGGAGGAAGAAGTGGCCTTCAGGAAACGTATTATTGCTCACTTTGTCTCTTCTTGCCAAAGCCAGGGCTTTCTCTCTCCTAAGGAAGGTTAATACCTTGAAAGAGGCATTTTCCTTTGACGTTGTGGAATAGTGGACATATGCAAATACAATGCAGATTCAGAGGTTTTGTTCCTTCTCCCCCTTCTCCTTTTATTGTTCTGAAAGAACAAACCTTACAGTTGAAATGACACTGACAGGAATATTCAGAGTGAAAAGGCAGCAGTGCTCCAGTGGGTTCCTATCATTTAATTACACAAGGCTTCCTGATTTCTGCAGTTTCACAGTTGCACTGAACCTGTCATTTAGGGAGGAAGCTGCAGATGCTTTTCTTTCACATACAAAAACCCTGTTGTTTCCTTGTGATCATCTCTTGCTTACTTTTCCATCTCTTTCTCTCTCTGTAGAAGCTGTTTCCAGCAGGCTTGTTACTGCAGAGACTGATCAGATTCTCAGAAACAAAAAATCCACGGGACAAAACCAATATAACACTTTTTTTTTCAGCTAAGTGTCAGAGAAATGTAAATAAGTAGATTCCGTCAATATGTAGGGTCACGTGAAAGCTCATTAGGTTGGGAAGATTTAAGGGGACAAGGTCGAGACCGTAAAGGTAAAAATAAGGTTCAATGTGATTCGTACGGTACAGCTGCTCAGCAATCTGTTATCACATGCATTTGTGAAGAATCAGGTCAGAGGTTTAACAGCAATATCAACTGTTTTGCTGATGATCCCAAGCACAGGGAGTCACTTGTACTTATATCTGGCTTACAAGATTGCTGTCAGAATCATTAGTTCTCTTACATGGAAAGCCCTGAACCCCACAGAATTTAATACCGTATATCCTAAAGATACTAACAAGTTGGGAAGGGGAGTTTGGCAAGCTGTCAGACCCAACTGGCCATTCCACCTCCTACTGTGTTTTGATTTTCCTTGATGATTACACAAACAATCAGTAAAATGAAATGGATTCAATCCTTTAGTAACTCCTGTTGCTTTTGGGTGCATGGTGTTATTACTACAATCTCTTACACAGGCATTTTTACAGAATAGAAATAGAACTTGATTCACATAAATGAATACTTTAATATTTTGTTTCATTTCACTGTACCCTTATCTGTGAGAGCTTTATTATGGCTCTTATTTTCAACTAATTACATGTAGTTCAACTAATTTATTTCATACAGAAGTACTGTTCCTTTATCTCATTAAAAAATTGGTAGTTCATCATCCTTGTTTTGGGTCAGGGCCTCAGGAATGCTGGATGAGCTACAGATAGTTTTACAAGGTGGCCAGTAGTGTGCCTGGCAACACAGCTTCTGTGTCCAAGAACCAAATTGCTGATTTTGCTCTGAGTCCAAAGTACCTTTATCCAAACCACAGAAAAAGTCAAAGTACACCAAAGAGATACATTTTCAGACTAAAAAAACCCAAACAAATAAATAAATAAATGTTTCAGAGAAGTATTTAGACTGATAAATGGTCTGAACAGTTCACTTTTCTCTATTTTGTGACCTTTTCTCAGTATAGTGATTTTTTAAAAAAAATAACAAATGTATCATTAACATTTCCTGTATCTTTTGACTATACTGTTGTGATTTCAGGTACTAACACATTGTAGTTGCAAGTTATCCTATTCACTCTGAATTCCTGTTGTACTGAACCAGGATAATCAAGAACTGCAGACTGTTCTGCAGATATTGTTCAGTCCACAATGTCAGAGAAGGTGCTCAAGGCAAGAGATGCACATTTCAGAGAGTAGACAAATAGACATGGGTGCTGTAGCAGGTGTGCTAGATAAGTTTGCACGTGTCTCCAGTCACCCAGGATCAGTAATAACCTGTGGCAGAAAAAAGGTACAGGAATGGCTGAGCAAAGGTAAGGAGTGCCTCAAGAAGTTAAACTGGCCAGAGCTCTTCCGTGTTGTAAAGAAAATGACTGAGTAAAAATGATTGAGATATATGGAATCATGAACAGTACTATCTTGATAAAAGGAAAGCTGCAATTTACTATTACTCCTAACACAGCTACTAGAATACCAAAATGAAATCACTAAGCAATAAGCTTGAAGGAGAAAGTATACTTTCACACTACATGTAATTAAACTGTGGAACTGTTATGAAGCTGGAACTGTGAACAGATTCATTTAATTTATTCAATGAGAATTTTTTTTCATGAAGAAACTAAAATCCATGCATGACCACTAATACTGAAATATGCATAGAAATTCTGAATTAGGAAGTTCCCAGTCCTCAGATTACTAGAAACTGGGAGCATGCCACTTGTCCCATCCCATCCCTGCCCTGTGTTTCTCCTGACATACGCTACTGTGCACTGTCAGAAATAGCTGCCTCAACTCCTGGTATGATGCACCAGGCTACAGAGAGCTGTATGGCATCTGCACTGTCACATTGTGCCTCAGTGCTCCAGTTCACCAAGAAAAGATCTCCCCAGCTGTGCTTGGATTTTGCTGGCCATCTGTTTCCACCTGACTACCTGGGAATGACTTTTACCACAGTGAGAAAGGTAATTCCTGTGTTATCAGCTGCATTTTTGATGCTGAGCAGATCCTGAGGCTGACCCCGGCCCTAAACCAGATTAGTACTTAAATCCATGAATCCGGACTTCCTAATCCAGGAGTAGTTTATTGTTGTTAAATTTAAAACACAAATCCTGCTTCTTTGTCTCTGTTCTACCATTTGCAGAGATGGGTTAAAGTTTTTTTTTCCAACCAATTTTACTAGTACTAAGGAAATACTGATGGATCATTACTTTCAGGGCTTGTGCTGTAACCTGCTTTTAACTTAGGTACGTTTGCTCTACTTCTCTAGCATAGTGGCTAATTTTAATGAGACTGCCTATTTTTGACAACAGTTCAGCTGCTTCATTCTTAAACACTTTCTGAATCTTAGATATATACCATCTGGTCTTAAAGACTTGTTACTCTTTCACTTATCTGTTTCCTTCAGCGTCTGTTCTTCTGACACCTCAATTTCTCAAAGAGCTTCATTTTTATTACCTGAAAGTACTGATACAGTATGGCTGTATGTGCAGCGAGCTACCTAATATATCAGGTCAGCCTATATAAGCTAACAACTACTTAGTTGGTATTCAAAACCAGGATAGAAACCTAAACAAATCAGCACCAGCCAGTACTTGTTCACTTGCAATCTCTTGCAAATTCAGAATTTTGAAGCAATTCTACACGAAAAAGGCTGTTTTTGTTTTTGTTTTTAACCTCTGAATTCCCTCAGTAACATGCCCCAAAAGATGTAAGAAACATATACCTTTGCATGTAAGTGGAACTAAAAGGGTCAAACCTTTTAGTTAATACAATATTATTACAAACATATTTACATTGACCTGTAGCTGCTGTAATTGGTTTCTCTATGCCAGTGACCTTTTCCTTCTTACTCAAGTCCTGACTTGCAAAAGGCAAGATAACACAACAGACTCTTCAGAAGACTTTAAAGGATGCTGGAAGATTTTTGTCCCTTCCCAAAGAAAATGTGATGCAGATTTAGATATCTTTGTACTTCATAATGAAACACTGAAGATCTGGAGAAACTGTATTACAACAGAAGTGTATGGTGTTTGAAAACACAAAAGCCCTTAAAAATTGTGTTTAAAACATTTCCTAGAAGAAAATGAAATAGATCTTTTTACAAATATTTCTTTTGAGTATCAGCTAATGTTAGAAAAAATACTTATTTCAATTAATGAAGACACACAGTTGTAAGTTTATGAAAAGATATTTTCTGGTACCCTACCAGTAGGAATAGAATAAAAAAAAGATATACAAGATGGCTACCAATTTCTTAAAAAACACATTTATTTGACCTGCACATTTTCTTTTCATATTGTTTATTATTCCAGGTGCCTGATCTTCCACACAACCAAATCACAGGAGATACGAAGGACGTGAACGTAAAATACCATTAGGACCTTTGTTAAACAAAGGCTTTTTAATTTTTCACCAGACAGAAATGCACATCATCATCTACAAGCAAACCTGAATCCCTTCAGTGGATTTATGAACTGTTGTGTTATACAGCAGTAATAAAGCAGGTAAGATGCCCCTTTTATCCCCAGTGATGTGCTGTGTCAAGATTAGTCAAAATTATAGAAAAAAATACACAGTTCTCCTCTGTGTACTCCAGCTTAATTCCCACATGTTCATATGAATTTTTATAAATGTATTCACTTCATAAATTCATGTGTACCACAGTTCATTTCTTCAGAGTCACCTTATTGGATAGAGGATCTTACTCTTCTCCATTTTGAAAAACTTTCATAAAGACAATATTTAAGTGGCTTATCTCCACAGATTTTGGTATGACTATAACCTTCTCTGACTGCACCTACTCTAAAAGCTTTGATCCTAATGTTGACTCAAGTCAACTGAGTATAAATGGCAAATGTTAAGCAAGAGGAAAACACTTTCTGGAAAATGTTTTTCAATTTTCCTTCAAATTATTTCCCTGATGCATTAAAACTGATTTTTTTATTTGTATAATTTAATGCAGCTCCCAATTTTCTATACTTTTCCAAGTTCTGTACACACTAGGGATTGTTAAACAGCAAAGTAACACAGATAACACTGAAGTTAGGTGAATGGATATTCATATGAGGCTTCAGTGCAGGATTTAGATCATAAGTATTCATCTCTCATCTATACAATGAAGTAAATCTACTGTTAGTTTTTTAATAAATTATTTGTTCCCCTTTTAAAAATACTGGACCCATCATCTTCTCCTCCATTTTTTTTTATAAACAGAACCTGGGCATTAAATAAATAAATGAAAATTGGACAGTATAAGCCTGAGGATACAATGTTCCAGTACTGAAGAAGCCAAGAAAAACTCTTATTGACTTCAACAAGCTCTAGATCTGACCTTTGGCCTATGCTATGCAAGTAAGTACATATAAATTATACATTCAGTACAGTGTCTGTCATAATTACATTTATGCTATCAGTTTGAGTTACTGAACAAATATGGGAACAGATTGTATGCAAAAGCCCCAGGCTCATCTTACTCCATCCACAGTGAGAATTTTGCCTGAATATGGTACCTGGGCTCAAAACTAATATTGCTAACTCTAATTTGATGTTGCATTAGTGTTCTTTTTGAAGCTTCAGGTACTCTAAGAAGTCGGTTATAAAATACTTATCTGTAACATAACATGCTTCTCCCTATCGTGGGCTCCCTGAAAGCCTTCAATATGGAAATGAGGCACTTAAAAGGCAAACAGTGCATCCACGGTGTGCCAGAGATTTTGTTTCTTCCTTTTTTGTTGTTGTTGTTGTTTTTGTCTGGTTTGGAAGCCATCCTGAGAGCTTTCCTAGAGACTATGCCAATTTTCAGTTTTCGGATATGCCTTATGACAGTAAAGCCATGGTGATACCAGAAGAAGGGGATTCACAGAAATAATGCGATTTTATATCATTACCAGTGTCTTTCAATGAAAATAACATCACTACTGCTAGTGGTAACTGATATCAGAAACCAAGCTTTTTGAGTATGTAAGATATTTTTGTTATCTCTTACAAAAATACAGGCTTTGCCTGTTTATTACAAAGTCTGTTTCTAAATTGTTTCTAGCAAAATCACTGTGTAAATAAAACACCTCTTAAAATTGACTGATGTATAACAGGAATATGTATTCATTTTTCTTCTTTTAATTGCCATCAGTTTCAAAAATAACAAATGCCTCTCACATCTCTATTCTTACCCACCTTACAGAAGTGACAACCTCTGAAACTGCCAACGTGGTTGCATTATGGGAAGGTATATGTGTAATTTTGCATAGGAGGAAAAAATATTAAGCTCCGCGACACATTTTGTGTAAGCTTTTCAAATATAGTAAGCTGAAAACAAAATCTCAGCCCTTGACCTGTTGAGTGCTAACAAAATTCCATCTGGTCACTTAGGAGCTGTGCCAGCATTACCACACAAAGAGCCTTTGAGCCATTTGAATGTTCAAGAGTCATTTGACAGCTTTTTTATTTACCCTCTTTTTTCTTTTTTTTTTGTCAGATACACACCTAATAACATATTACAGATGGCTAGGTTCTAACAAGTTTACTTGCATGTAAGCTTGAAACTACCCTTGAAAGTAAACTGCTGAGTTTTTGCTTTGGGCTGTTGCTTGGGTTTATGTATTTTTTCTAACATTTAGGATTGTTCAGTCTGCTGCTGCTCCGATTTCCTTTTTAGGCAAAACAAAAGTGAAAGTGAAGACCTGGTACATGGCTGTTCTAAAAATGTGAACATAATTAGACTGCTCAGCCTGCTCGAGGCCAATGGAATGGGAGTATGTAGTAAAAATGTCACAGTAGGCAGCAGGTTAAACAAATGTCTGTCCTGTGACATATCTTCATGGGGGAAACAAATCTCACTCTGAAGCGAGAGAGATTTCAGCAACAGATGAGTACTGCACTCAGTATGCATTAAGTGCATATCTTTTAGTGCCAAAATCGGTTATTGATTTATTCCTTCATCACTGTGCTAAAATATGTGTATTTAATAATGAAAAATAAATTATGTATTAAAATCTATATTCAAATCTATGTTGGAAAAACAAAATTGGCTTGAGAGAAAAAAAAAAACTTAAATAGAAATGTTGAGCCACCTGATCTAGCTTCAGAGTTAGCACTGTTTGACCTCCCTTGTCCCTGGTGACCTGCTTTTCCATGTGATGTTCTCAGTCCAACCGATACGGTTGTATGCACCACCCATACACAAAACTGAGCTGCCTGGCCTGGTATACAGACTTCAACACAGAAGAGCTAGTAAAATAATCATAGCAATAGCTGAATCATAGAATCATAGAATGGCCTGGGTTGAAAAGAACCTCAAAAATCATCTAGATTCAACCCCCTTGCCATGGGCAGTTGCCAACCGATACAGCAGTCTGCCCAGAGCCACATCCTGCCTGGCTTTGAATACAGCCAGGGACTGGGCATCCACAACCTTCCTGGGCAACCTGTTCCAGTGGGTGGTTGAGGAGGACTCAAAATTGCAAGACTGGCAGATGTAGTCTCAGCCATCCACTTGAGCGCAACATCCAGTCAAGAGACAAGTAAAGCAATACTCAGTGCTCCCCTAGACTCTGGTCTGGGATTTGAGAAATACAGTGAGAAAATAAAACAGCCCAAGAAGTGGTAAAACAGCGACTAGTCTAGGAAATGCTCTGAGGCTTTAAGGAAACGCTATTAGAGACTGAGTGGAGACATAATGATCTTTCTACATGTTCTGTATTTATTCAGCACTGCATTTTTAGAGATATCTAAACATCTTAAACTGAGGTTGTTGTTGAAAATTAACAACGTAATCTGCTTTGGTACTCATAGTCAGAGATCTTCAATTTTAATCTATTAATACCTTTGCTTTGTTTTGCTATAGTACTTTTGCATGTGATTACTGGATACAGAGGGTACTAGCCTACAAATACTCACCATCCTAGAAGAAAGTTTGGATCGTGAGCATTTTTCTAAAAAGTAAGTCCTTTAAAAATTCTTAAAATACATAGATTTGTATTTTGCAGTCATTTTCCAGGCTAAAAAGTTGTACTGTATGCTGGATTTTCAAGCTGCGTGTTAAATTCAAGATTGATCAGAGTATTTCAGCAAAGCATGTTCCCTTACTTCAGCTACTGATCTGAGCTTCTCCTTGGCACTTGCTATCATGATGTCTGTGCTGCTCTCTTTGCATGTTAGCTCCATGAAAAATCTCTGATGCCTGACACAGAACCAGGAAATGGAAACTGAAAGACCGAGGGTTCACAGAGAGTGCTTTAGCCAAACCTCAACAAGGAGAGTAAATATTTAGCCTGGTGAAGTTATAGAGGCCACTTTGTATCCTGTTCTTTTACACTTTCTGTAAATATGTAATACATATATTTCACCGGTAAAATAAAGCATAAACAAGTAGATAATGTCAGAAATGAGATTAAACTGCTTCTAAAATAAAAGATAATAAGGCACTGCACTGTGCAGCTCCGCTCCTGTAAGTTTTTCTAAAAACTGACCTACTTGTACTATTGTTCTTTGACAGTATGTTAGAAAGATGCAGGTTGCAAATTGAATAGGTGACTTTAAAGACCTCTATTTACAAATGTCTTACAGTTCAAAAGTGCTTGTCTGTATTTTCCTATTAAGTTACTCTTGGTAAAACATTTTTGGCCCAAGAAAAGAATGGACGTAAGAATAGCCTTTCCTCTTAAAAACCCAATTGTTAAAACTTATAATTCAAAAATTTCTTTTAACTACAGAAGGGGCTGATAAAATGTGATAGTTTCCTCATGCTTCAGAGAAAAAGGATCTTAATATTTTCTAAAGTTAATGAAGAATATAAAGGAAAACAAGTCAGTCCTGGAATGTGCTGGTAATTGGCCGGTGAGATGGTGTGATGCCATTAGTGGTGTGATGCAATTCAGTGGTTTAGCACAAATTACTGGCTAAGGTGGCCCCAAATAAACAATATGTACTTGCAGGCAGACTGTGGTGCCCACATATTGTAAATTGAAGACTGGAGCCCTGAGTCATGTATAACTGGCTTTCGAATGTTTAGAATTCGATCACTCATCAAGAAGCTTTTAGGGCCAAAATGTACTCGAAAGTTTGTTTTTAAAGGTATCACATATCACCTTAAATCTGGTGTGATCAAGATTAATAGGCATCTGTGGTTAATCCCACTAGCTATAAATATTTACCTATTAATGCAGTCATTTGTTCTCACTCAGGAATGCAGAGGATATACAGCATCAATAAAGCACTGCACTGATAGGATCAGCTCAGATACTCTCTAGAGGAAAAGGATTCAACCGAGTTTTCACGTAAGGCTGACACAAACCTGGAGATGAATCAGATGGCAAAATTAAAACAGTGAGCAAAATGCTTAATATAGCAGATTTAAAAGAAATGTTTCCACAAACCCCACAAGTTTTCTGCATGATTACTGCAGCTATAAGTGATTGTTAACCTTTGCACAGCATTTAAGAGCTTTATTTAGTAAAAACTATACAACAGTGACAGAGCAGTAAACACAATACTGATGTTCTGAGGCTGCACACTAAGGCACGTATACACAGCTGGGTAAATCATCATCCAAATTTTATAAGCCTCAAGGATTATTTCAAACAATTTCATTGAACGTTTGAATGAATGAGAAGATGCACTATGTATCCTCTGAAAATATGGTTTTGGAGTAAGACAGTCTGACAGGGCAAATCAGGAAAAATAGATCTCTGAAAGAAAAGGCTACTTCTAATGTTTTAAATCTTTTGTCTCTTAATTAAGTTATTAACTTTCCATTCTGCAACCTGTATTCAGCTGTATTCAGCCAATATCCCAAAAAGAAGTGAAATGCTCATAAGACACATCTGTAAGAAGTTCAATTAAAAAAAAAAAAAAAAAAAGGCAACCAAGATTTTTTTTTTTCCTCCAAAGAAATATATTTTTAAATGACAAAAGATTTCTGCAAAATCATAGAATCATAGAATCATAGAATCACCAAGGTTGGAAAAGACCTAAAAGATCACCCAGTCCAACCGTTCACCTATTCCCAATAGCTCCTACTAAACCATGTCCCTCAACACAACATCCAGTCTTTCCTTGAACACCCCCAGGCTCGGTGACTCCACCACCTCCCTGGGCAGTCCATTCCAGTGCCTGACCACCCTTTCTGAAAAGTAATACTTCCTCATGTCCAGCCTGAATCTCCCCTGCCGTAGCTTGAAGCCATTCCCCCTGGTCCTATCACTGATGACACGAGAGAAGAGGCCGACCCCCAGCTCACTACAACCTCCCTTCAGGAAGTTATAGAGAGCAATGAGGTCTCCCCTGAGCCTCCTCTTCTCCAGGCTGAACATTCCCAGCTCCTTCAGCCTCTCCTCATATGGCCTGTGTTCCAGACCCCTCACCAGCTTTGTTGCCCTCCTTTGAACACGTTCCAGGGCCTCAATGTCTTTCTTGCAGTGAGGGGCCCAAAACTGGACACAGTACTCGAGGTGCGGCCTCACCAGTGCTGAATACAAGGGAACAATCACCTCTCTGCTCCTGCTTGCAACACTGTTTCTGATGCAAGCCAGGATGCCATTGGCCTTCTTGGCCACCTGGGCACACTGTCGGCTCATGTTCAGCCGAGCATCAATCAATACCCCCAGGTCCATTTCCTCTATGCAGTCCTCCAGCCACACCGCCCCAAGCCTGTAGCGTCGCCTGGGGTTGTTGTGGCCGAAGTGCAGGACCCGGCATTTGGCCTTGTTGAAACTCATCCCATTGGCTTCAGCCCAGCTCTCCAGCCTGTCCAGATCCCTCTGTAGGGCCTCGCTACCCCCAGGCAGATCCACACTTCCAGCCAATTTGGTGTCATCTGCAAACTTACTGAGGGTGCACTCGATGCCCTCATCGAGGTCATCAATAAAGATATTGAAGAGGACAGGCCCCAGCACCGACCCCTGGGGAACACCACTCACAACCGGTCGCCAGCTGGATTTGACTCCATTTACCACCACTCTCTGTGCCCGGCCCTCCAACCAGCTCCTTACCCAGCCAAGAGTGTATCCATCCAAGCCTCTGGATGCCAGCTTCTGCAGGAGAATGCTGTGGGAGACAGTGTCAAAGGCTTTGCTGAAGTCTAGGTAGACCACATCAACAGCCTTTCCCTCATCCACCAGATGGGTCACTAGATCATAGAAGGAGATCAGGTTGGTCAAGCAGGACCTGCCCTTCATGAACCCATGCTGGCTAGGCCTGATCCCCCGGTCACCCCGCACATGCCGCATGATCTCCCTCAAGACGATCTGCTCCATAACCTTCCCTGGCACCGAGGTCAGGCTAACAGGCCTGTAGTTCCCCGGATCCTCCTTACGACCTTTCTTATAAATGGGAGTCACATTGGCAAGCCTCCAGTCATCTGGGACCTCACCGGTCAACAAGGAGCGTTGACAGATGATGGAAAGCGGCTCGGCTATCACCTCCGCCAGTTCCCTCAGCACTCTCGGGTGGATCTCATCCGGCCCCATCGACTTGTGGCAGTCCAGTTGGAGCAGTAGGTCTCTGACTGTTTCCTCCAGAATCACAGGGGGGTTAGTGTGCTCCCCAGCCGAGATTACCAGGTCAGAGAGAGGAGTATCCTGAGGATAACTGGTCTGACTTTTAAAGACAGACGTAAAGAAGGCATTCAGAACCTCTGCCTTTTCCTTATCCTCAGTAGTCACATTCCCAGCCTCATCCAGCAAAGAGTGGATATTCTCCTTTGTCCTCCTCTTACTGTTAATGTATTTATAAAAGAGTTTTTTATTCCTTTTCACGCCAGTGGCTAGGTTAAATTCAAGCTGGGCTTTTGCCTTTCTGATTTCACCTCTACACATCCTAACAACTTCCTTGTATTCATTTTGAGTGGCCTGTCCCTCTTTCCATAGGCGGTAGATTCTCTTTTTCTCCCGGAGCCTCAGGAATAGTTCCCTATTCATCCACGCCGGTCTTCTTCCCCGCCGGCTCATTTTGCAGCTCAGGGGGACTGCCTGCTCCTGCGCCCTTAAGACTTCCTTCTTGAAGAGCAACCAGCTCTCTTGGACCCCTTTACTCACTAAGACTGAATGCCAGGGGACTCCCCCTATTAGTCCCTTGAACAATTCAAAGTCCTCTCAGTTCAAATGCCTCTTCTTATCTTAAATTGAAAGTAATTTGTTGCCTTTGCAAGCAGGATCTGAGTGTATTGCAGAGAAGTGCGGTAGTGCTGTGTTTCACTGCATAATAACCATCCCTTAGACTAAGTAAGGAGCCACAGACAGCAGCTGGAAGGAAGCAGGCTCTCTGTGCAGTCTGCAGGCCTCAGGAAGGAAGGGCAGAGCTTGAAGAGATAAAAACCACCAACAGGTCCTTGGTATGTGTTTCACAAGGGATGCAAAGTTCTTTGGCAATTAGATATATAAAATTATAGAATGGCTTGGGTTGTAAGGGACCTCAAAGATCACCTAGTTCCAATCTCCCTGCTGCAGACAGGGTTGCCAGCTACTAGATCATACTGCCAAGTATCACATCCAACCTGGCCTTGAATGCCTCCAGAGATGGGGCATCCACAACTTTTCTGGGCAGCCTGTGCCAGTGCCGCACAGCTGCAAAGACCGTGGCCCCCAAATGAAGAACATCCACTATTGCTCCAAAGATATCTATTCCTCTGATGACCAAGCAGATCTTGACCAACCCTTAAATCGCAGGGGGAAAAGAATAAAATTAAATGTATAGACAGAAAAGACTCTAGGAAGCCTACTTCCAATGGTCCTATTCACTTGTCACCAAATTCTAAAGAAATTTAACCATCAGCCCAAATCCACAATTCTTCTCATCCTCTCAGGCAGCTCCTGAGAGCTCTCTCAGGTAGCCAAATCCATGCATTAGCCTGATAGAGATCTCTAAGAAGTGCGTCCTCTTGGCCCCATGCCACAATGTGCCCCATACTCACAGACCACAAAGGAAATCCTAGTGAAAATACTAGCATTCCACTGAAAGTAAATGACAATAAAATGAAAGTGCATTTTACACATTAACATAAACACTAAAATAAACCAAATTCAGTCTCATCCTCTGCATGCAATTTCACAGAAGCATACCAAGGATCTTGTTGTTTCATGGCTGAGCTCTGGATTCAGGAAGAGAAAAGAACTGGACTACTCCTTTTTTTCTTCTTTTTTCTTCTTCCATATATGTGTGAAGCAAAAGACTACTGAAGTTTGCAGCCCATCTCAAGGAAGGTGAGGGAAGTAATGCCTCTTCCTTCATTCACATTTGAAAAGGAGGAGTAACAAAGGCTCAGACTTTCACTGAAAAGATGCAGGCACCCATCTCCCAAATAACTCCATGCCCTTGGCCTGAGGTGGAAATTATGCTGAATAGAATAGAGGTATGCATGTTAGTTATGAGTGTCTTCCTGCTGAGCTTGGTAGTTGATCCTACTCTGAACTCTGCAGGCACTGTTTAGAGAGCCAAAACAGCTGCCTCGGATTTCTGAATGCCATACTGAGAACTAGCACCTAAAATCCATAGCATATGCAGTCCATCCCTAACCACGAGTCTACACAAAAATTCCACTGCCATATTTCCCAATATCCATGTTATTTTATGCCACTTTCAAAGAACACTTCAGATCACTGCATCCCTGTTAAATGCAGCTGTACTGTTAGACAGTTCTACAGTCAGTAAACTACTCAAAACAGACACTTAAAGGATTGAGCCTACTGATGGACTGCCAATCTTTTTACCATTCTGGCTGAAATACAGTTCTAGTTCAGAAGGCAAAGAAGCAGAGAACAGAAGTCAAAACCCAGCAAGACTGAGAGGCAGAGGTGATTTCCTGACCAGTTGCTGCATGTCACAGGCATATCTGCATAACTCAGTGCACTGGGAAGTTACTTACACGCTGCCTGGCAGTCAAGAGACACATAGGAAGCTTTGCAACAGTAAGTCAGATGTCTGAACAACTCTAACAATGTGCCTTAGCCCCTACCCCTGGAGGCATCTTGCAGCAACATCGAGGACCTTCACAGTCTTCTCTATAGCATATGTTTACAGTGTTTGTATGGAGGGAATTCTACTCGGTCAGCATATAGAACTCCCACGGATGCCAGCCACTGCTGCAACAGTGCAAAGAGATGACAGCTGAGGAAACAATCTCTCCTATTACATTCTCCAATTGTGGTTTTTTTTTGTTGTTGTTGTTTTTTTGTTTTTTTTTGTTCTGTTTTGTGTTGGCTTTTTTGTCAATTACAACTGGTCCCTTGAAAGTAGAAGAAAGGAAAAGTGGAGAAAAGAATATTTCAGAAGTGGTCACATTATATGGGAAAGCTTACAGACACAGTTCATGGAGTAAATGTGCAGATTTGCACATGTGCCAAAAGCTACTGTCATTTTTAACCACCACTGACATGCTGACGTCTTAATGAAATGAGAGGAAAAGACCAGGATGCTTCTGTATCAGCAGACATAAATCAGTGATGCGTTGTTGGTAGCCATACTTCATTTACTTCCAGAAGCTGCTTATAATAAAAAAACCATATATATTATCAGTTTTAATATTCTTTCTCTCCATTTTACTAATACCCAAAAGCCTCATATAGAAAGTTACTGTGGTAATATTAATTAATACAGCCAGCAATTGATCATTAAAGCAATACTTATCAGGAAAATTGCTAATGTTTCAGCTACAGGATAAAGAGATTTTTTCTTCTTTCTCCATTCCCACTTGAATAGGCAGGCATAAAGCGTTGTAGTTTGATGGCTGCTGGTAATTTTAAATCTCCTGTATATACAGCACATAACATGGCACACATAGCTCCTTCTGTGTCTCATCTAGGTGGTTGGCCTTCTCAGACTGAGCACACCCCTATTCTTTGTCAGCACTTCCGATCTGTAATCTTAGTTTGAATGCTGCAAGGAAAAGCTTACATGAAGACCCAGAAAGAGAGAATTAATAAACTCTACCAGCACTGAAGAATCTACACCATCCCAGGAAAAGCAAGCCCTGTGCACTGCCACCCTTTTATAGTGAAGTATGTCTTCCCTGTGTGTAGAATGCACTGTGATAATACCTTAAAATAGTGCAGTCTATGCCCCACTAGAGAAGTATTAAATGCCACTGTCAAAATGAATTATTCCCTCATCTAGATGAGCAAAAGCTGTGGTCATCCTATTCAGGTCTACATTGTGCTATAGAGGAATAAAAATAGTGATAGATGCTAACAGGTAACACTGCTAGTGTAGACTCATCTATCTTGAAAAAGCCTTCTTTTGTTCCAGCTTGATAAAAAAATATTATCTAAGCTTAACACAAAACAAAACTACAGGTAAAAAGGCAAAATGTGTTGGGTAAATTAACCTAAATTAGGAAGGGGCTTAAGTGTAGAAGACTCTACAGTTAAGTATGGGCCAGGATTTGTGCTATGACTAAACTGGAAGATCAGGAGAGCTTCAAAGTGCATGTTCTGATTTATCATATTCCACGTGAAAGAAACTCAAGTTATGTGCTCTGCCCTGATTAGCTGGAAAGAAAAGTGGACATGTAGGCAAGATGGGAGCTGTGGCATGCTCAGTAGGGCTCTCAGTAGGATGACTGGAGATCTGGACCCAATGGTTTCCCATGAATTGCTACTGCAAATCATTCTCTCTGCACTTCTCACCAGTTAAGTAAGCAAAGTAGAAAAGAAAAAGCTGACATCCCATTTAGGCTACACTGAGAATTCATATTTCATCATTAGTGTTATTCTGCAGACTTCAGTCAGTTGGGTGTCTACAAATCAAGGTTTGTCATCCTCTACTCACTTGAATTAAGTGATTACCAATAATTCATGTTCACTTGCAACTACAGATGCTAGTCTAACAAATACTCCCAAACATTTTTTCAAGTATGTAATCATTTTTCTGCTATTCTACAGTCACAAATAAGAAGTGTTTATCATTGCCTTACTTTATAGCGTAAAAAAATTGAATGGGAGTCTACACAGCTCTTTTTGGGCTGGACAAATTGCAGATTTTAAGTTTGGGGGTTTTTTTTGTTTGAAAACATTATAGCGTGAAGGTAAACACGCATTTGAACAGTGTTAATCTTTTGCAGACAATGCTATATCGGGGGATCAGCTGACACAACAAATAGCAATCCAGAGGCACCTTCAGAAACTTGGGGATTGGATGGCCAGAAGTCTTCTTCAGCAAGTGTAAGACTGAACAATCCCACACACTGGGAAAGACTGGGAGCTGACTGACTGAGGACCAGCCCTGCTGAAAACACCCAGGGGATTACAGTGGAGGCCAATTAAAACATGAGCCAGCGGCATGCTCTCAATGCAAATAAATCAAACAGCATTATGGCTATATTAGGAGTGTGGCCAGCAGATCAAGTCTCTGCTTGATGCCTGGTAAGAACCTGCACATCCCCAAATTCTTAACCTGGCTCTGGATGTCCCAGGTTGACACTGAGAAACTGGAGAAAGTGTAGGACAGGGCTCCAAAGATGAGCCTGTCCCCAGAGCATGTGATGTGCAAAAGTGAGGCTGGGGGATGAGGTCTTCCTCATTCTGCCGAAGAGAAGGATGAAAAGTGACTGAATAGTGGCCCTGCAGCTACCTAAAGTGAAGACACAAAGACTATGGAGGCTTCAAGATGTAACTACATAAAATCACAGTTGACCCGGTTATAGCACTGGCCTTATTCAAAATCCTTACAACCTTTATTCAAAATCTTTCCAAATGACAGTTTTGTTTTCCTTCTACAAGACTGTGAATCCGTTCATATTTCAGCTCCAACACTTCCACTGTTTCTACTATAGGCTTCCTAACAGAGCATCCAAGTAGGACATCCTTATTATAGGTAAGTCTGTTTTGCTGTGTGACAGAACTGTTAACTGCTTCATCTTGCTATAAATTAGCAGAGTGCAGACTGGAAAAATCTTGATCTGACTATTCCTGCTGTCTAACTCTTAGGTAACAGATCTTTTCCTCTTCTTTTTAAACAGACAAGCACCCTTTTTTTCTACAGTGTTGGCCTCAGTCATGGATAAGAAAATATATGTATGTATAAAATTATTTCCTTTCTCTTAGCAGCATATTGTTATGCGTTATTATGAAATTCTTGTCTTGCATTTACTCAGCAGCGTATGTATATTTTGTGCTGCCTCAGTTCCTACATATGAGGAGACTGATGGTACAACTACAAAATACCACGGAGGTAGGTCCTACCATTGGAAAAAATACAACGTGTAGAGTATGAGTGTATAATAAATGACCTTGATTAAGTCCTTCATATTATTCCAGAAGGATCTGAGCACAACATTGATGAATGGACCAGGCAGACTTCTTTTCATTGTCCTCTTTGTTTGTAAATACAGAAAAAAATAGACAGAATGAGTCTTATTTATTTTAGCAAGATTTGAATTCTTGGAAAAAAAGATATATATATATATATTTCTATAACTTAAAATGTGAAAAACAATTCAGAATGTGGCTGTTTAAAAAAAAAAAGCAAAATCTATGAGGAGTTATACATGAGTATACATGACACAAATACACAAAGGGAACATGCCTACTACAGTGGCAATTCTGTGAACTGTTTACTAGTAGAACTACAAAAATGTATTAACACTATTGAAATTTTGCAGCGTGTTAATTGTTAGGAGTTGATGTGAATATAATGAAATAATTATGAAAATGCCCATAAGCCTTAATTCTTGAAGTAACTAAAGAGTTGTGGATGCACACAGGCCTTCAGGCCTGACAATTCTGCTATTAATTCTAACAATCATTATGGCATTTGCACATTGATACCTCTCTTAATGATACATTGCCACACTGAAAAATACATTCTGGGAGCAAACTTTGTCATAAGTATTGAATCAATATCTCTTTTGAACACTATATATTTCATTTCTTAGGCTATTTGTTTGCCTTCGTACTTCAGAGTTCATGATAGAACTCAACTAAGCAGTTGGCACTTATTTCCTGTGTCCCTATGTGGGTCAAAAGCAGCCTTCTACAATCCGTTCACTTGTAAGTCTTGCATGGGAATCTGTTTTAATGAATTAGTGTTTATAAATCCCTCTGAAGAGGAATCTTTTAATGCTAGAGCCCAGGACTGTTAATTTCACCCATGGCCAGTGCATCTACCTTTTCCCTCAAATGAATGGGAGGTCAGATTTCTTCAGACCTGTGTCTGATCCCATGATGCACTGAAGTGACTACAGCCTTCTGAGAATGCAACTCCTAATTCTCTGGTGCCACAAATTCTTCAGCACACTGAACATCTGCAGCTTTTTTTGGCTTCCACAGTTGTGAGTCATGGCAGCCCCCAAAACTCTATGCAGACCTTTAACCATTAATTCTACTAAACCAGGACAAGAATCTAAAAACAAGACTTCTTCAAGGCATCTCAGATATGAAGGCACTATGGACATCATTTTATTACCCATCACTTTATTGCCCATTATCCTATGGTCGTTTATGCTCAAGTAGGACACAAAAGCTACATTTTAGGCCCAGTTACCATTTAAATCAAATTTGCAGCAACTTTATGCATAATACAGGGTAATGGAACTGAGGCCATAATCTGACTACACAGAGGCTTCGACAGCAAAGCTTGTTTCAACGGATTACCTTTTCTAAATGCTCTGCAACCAGGTCAGTTAAAGCACTGCAAGGCAATGCCATTTGAATCTACAACATGCACTTAAAAATGTTATTTGATAGTTTGCTGTATTACGTTTAAAGATGCTATGTCTCAGCACAGGAAAAAACAAGCTCTATTTTCATTAAATTAATGCAGTTTTAGAAGTTCTGCATTGAACATGCAGACCTTTCACATCAGAGCAACCAGACTTCTTTGTCTGATGGCTTAACATTACCTGTAGGTTGTATGAGATGAAGCAGCAGAAACATCTCTAATGAAAAGATTCAAATGATATGCTGACTTTGGGGACAAATTAGTTCCATAGGTACAGAGTGGAATAATACTAAACTGACATAAACAAGCAGAATTTGCCTTCTATACTTGGACTTGCATCCTTAAGATATTAAAAATGAACACTGAAGTTCAACACATGCTTTGTGATCAAAGAGTAAGAGTGGTACAAGAGTGGTACAAAAGTGGTACTGTTATATGAATACAATAATCACCTATTCTGAATGTTCTCTGCAAGTCCAACCACCAAATGTTTAAACAAAAATTGCTGCTGTATTTTCATTCTGAACTGTTGGCCAAAATCAGAAGGGGCCTCTTTTGACACAGTGGCTGCTTTTGCAAGAAGGAGTCTGGGGAGAAATAATGAGGAAATATCAGGAGGGAGCTTGCAAGATTTCCCAAATTTTCAATTTTGATATCTGATATTTGATCTAAAAGTTAAATCTCTGCAACCCCAAATGCAGTCCAAACTTAATCTGCATCCACGCTCCTCAGCGTATTTCTGATTGTAAGAAATGTATTTCCGATAACAGTGAAAATAATAATAATAATAACAATCTCATCCACTTATTTTTAAGATACAAAAAGGGTCCAACAGAAAAGGCCGTTTCTCAGACAACCTGCCAAACTTCAGTCATTTTGTAAAATGTGCCTATTAATCAGCTTTCAGAAAAAGTTCTCTGTGTACAGCCAAAGTTCTGTTTTGTTGATGACCATTTCTGATTTTAGAAAAGCAAGCAGTTTAAAAGTTGCTGAAGTGTGCTGGCTTCTGACTGACACCTTGTTTGTTGTGATGCCTGAGTGCAGTGAACTGTTCAGAATCTGAGTATGCTAAAAGTAATCCAGAAGCTCACATCTGTTGCTTTTTATCACAAGAGCTATCTAGTATCAGAAAGACAACCTCATAAACGTTTTGAAAAAGAAAACTACAAGAAAAAGCAAAACAAAACAGGCCTCCCTTGCTAACATAAAGTGCTGTATTATCTAGGGCATTTTTTCCCCCAGTCATCTGTTTTGAACTGGGTACAGGCACAGAACTCAAATTTTACATTCACAGAAGAACTCTTTCAGAGACTGTACAAGAAATCTGAAATTCTACCTTATTCTTAACAGTCAGAAACAGAAACTGTGATGCCTTCACTCCCCTTGTAAAAGGAGAAGTTACAGCCTTCATAAAGATAAACAAGTACTTCAGATCATTTCTGGGATGATGATGCATTCTGAAGAAGTGCATTGAATTGTTTTTTGTTCCTCCTACAGCATTCTTGCCTGTGAAACAGTAAGTATCCACATTCTAATGTGGCATTAGAAGCATAATGTGTATAAGTCTTAGAGAGAGATTTCTAACATTTTCTGGGAATATCAGAAAATACCAAAAGACACTATCTAATGGCTGCAAAATGCATTTCTGAAACATATTTATTCTTTTTTCCTATGCTGCTACAAGATAGAACTTTATGTATATTAATAGCTTATGACATCGTGCTTACGATCCCTTTTACAGGATGATGTTCTAATGTTATCTTCATGTTAAATTGGTTTCTTCTTTGAAATAACAAATTACTATAAGCTGTATGATTCCATCAGTTTTTAAGAAAAAAAGATTTCAGCAGATCTTTTTCAGCACAGAATATGGCTCTTCCATCATTTCTTCATGTTATAAACCAGCATAATGCCGTACTTACCAATAAAAGACATTTGAACAGTGCTTCTCAAAATTAGCCCAATGTCTAATATTTCCATCCTCCCAACTGCATAAGTTGGAGAGCCAATATTTCTAAGTGTATTTCTATGGAACATGCTATTTTGCACAGTTTCACCCAGACCCTATAGTTTGAGGCCCATTATAGCTGAGTCAGAAAAGCAGGATCCTGGTGACTTCAGTGGTACTCAGTGTGGGCTTTGTGTGGGTACAAGAATGCTGTATAAATAGCATTTACATGAGTAGGGCCCAATCCTGGGCTGTTTCTTTCCTACAAGATACATTCTTTCATGCACTCTTGCTCATTGTATGTTAGGCGAAACTAAAAACTGATTTTATATTAGTTTTAACTAGCAGATATTTACAAAAATAAAAACCAAAAACCTTCTGCTTTTGAAAATTAGAAAGTGGAACAGCAGTTTTTCGATTCTTTCTCTAACAAAGATAGTGGAATGGGTATGAAGGAAGAAGCTGTCAGATAATTAATAAGGACAGAACCAGAAGAAGAGAGAGTGGGAGATGGGAGGAAAGACAGAAAAGAACAGAAAACTGGAGGAGGCAAGAGGAGGAAGACGTTACAGAAAACTGGGCAATGAAATAAGGGGCTTAGCAAAGGACTAAAGGAATAGAATGGCTGTGGAAGAGAGTGGGAAGAGTAAGAAATGATTCTTAGGTTAAAAAAAAAAAAAGAAATGACTTGAAGAAAATGACGACATTATAGCATCAGTTACAGAAATGTAGTTTTTGCCTGGAAATTGCACAGCAGTTTGGGCACTGCTGCATGTAAACTTAATGATTAGTACCTCTGATTTAACTGAAGTACTTATCCTGCTGTAAACAGATGATGGATTTTGTACTGCAATTATTTAAAACAACACCACCACTAAATAACTGAATTTCCTTGACTCCTGTCAGCCATTCTTTATGGGTATATTGCATATCTTGCTCTAAACTCCACAATTTCTCTGCTTTCATCCAAATTTCATGTGGCGGGAGCCAGTATGTCTGTATCACCCTCTAAGGAATTCCAGGAACAAAGGCTCAACAGGTTTTGCAGGGTGAGATCAAATATGTTTGTATATAAAGCCTATTAAATGTATTTCTAAATTCATTTAATCATAGCAGATGTTTTTACAGTGAATGCCTTCATGGGCCAATTTTCTGTTGTAGTTTGCTTTCTTTTCCACCTCCCCCCCCTGCTGCCCCCAGTAAAACTATAGCCTGGCCCTAAAATTGATTCAGTGCATAAAGATAGGAGAGATGGGAGTGAAAGGAAGAAGCATCATGGCTACTTGTTACTTAAGTAAGAGGTGGGGGCAAGCGTGAAATATCCCCAGAACAACTCATTGCTTTGGTGCTCCTACTGACGATCATGTTAATTCCCTGAATTTCCTCTTAAAATTCTCAGAAAGGGGTATGCCTGAAGAAGGGGTCACAACTTTGAAGATGCTATTTCTACATACACTAGGCTCAGAAGACTGACTTCAGTCAGTTCCTCCAGAGGCCCAGCAGGTATAAGTTAAACATTCTGTGGACAGGGAAAATTTGGATAAGAAAGATGTGTACACTCCTGCTTTGGTTTTAAAGCCTTTTTCTCTTTGCATGCTTTGTTCCTGCTGTCAAGATAAAACAGCATTTTGATTTAAGGAAATCGTTCCAGAGCCTTCATGCAGCACAGGGAGCTATTTGGCAGTGCTGAACTCAGTTTTGCCTGCAGGGCACTGGGTGTTGCAAATTGAGATCATCTTGGGTTTCTCAACAAAGAAAGGATACAGGCATGAACTCAGGGAAGGGAGCAGAAGTGCTACTAGCCCTGAAATAGTGACATGTACTTGTAAGGTTGCTTCTAAGGCTAGAAATGCTGGTTGTCATGTCATGAGACTGGTACAACACCAAAGACAGGAAACCTTTCTAAATATGCTCTCAAGAGCAGTTCCTGGCTGGCAGACAGCAGGCTGCACTCAGCACCGTGCTCACCTCAGCCAAACGCTCCACTGAACCTGCAGACCACAGGCCTTGCAGCTGCTCCTCTTTCATGTCTGGTTGTATTTATGCTCAAGCAGGAAAAATTTTAAGTTTCCAGATACAAAACACTGACACAGTGTTAATCCATACAATACAAAGCAGTTCTAGTTCCTAGTCTGGATACAGTTACGGGCAAATGGGAGTTTGTAACCTGCTATTTATGAGAGAGTTTTCTTTGCAGCCTCCCTCCTTCCTTTAAGATATGATGAGGGAAGTATTAATCCTTCCTTCATGTTACACATGGGGTTATTTTTGGACTGGGATATAGTAGAGAGAAAGGCATTCACTGAAAGGCGAAGAATTCCATGAGAAGAGGTTTTTAACTGTAGGTTTTGTGTCCCGATGCTCCCACGTTAATGTACCAGGAGAGCCGTAGAAACAGAGGAAGCTAATAGTGGGCACAGACTCCTCAAGTATCAACAAAGGTCTGTTGTTCCCTACAGCTTTTGGCAGCCCCAGCAAATTTCTCCAAAGCTCTGTTCAATCCTCATCATGCTGTACATCCTGCCATTAAGCTGATCTCTTCCATGAGCCTGGGCCTTCTAATTCAGTCTCCATCTCTCTCACTCACTTTTCTCTCTTTCCAGGCTTACTCCCCAGCATATTTGCAAAAGTGAAGGAGATAGGGCTGAAAGATAGGCTGCTTATTCACCACGTGACTTTGAACACCTGCTTAACTGCACTTAATCAGATATTGACACGGCTTGCCGAATCCAAATCAACTGACAGGAAATGTAAACAAAAAAATTAATGCAAAAATTAACAAACAAATCTGGCAAATTTCTTCCAAATGATCGTGACTGTCAGGCTGGCAAGTATCAGAGGCCAAAACCAACTGATGACTGTATGCAACTGTGATTAACTATAATGAATCTCACAGAGCTATCACTCACACAAGGAATTATTCGGTGTTTTAACAAAAGCTCAGAACCGACCCATGCCTCACATCTTCCCATAATACATAATTAGAAAGCAGTAAGTTTGTTAAGAGATTTGAAATATGAGGAAAATAGCACTAAGTATTAAAAGGGATCAAGTAAAATATTTCCTTTCCAAAAGAGTGGGTTTTTCTCCTCATTTTTGAATGTGTGAATGTAATCTTTGTAGTAGGTTTGTCTAACCTAGAGATGCAAAGCTTGAAATGCCCTCATTTTATTCATTTTAGGTTGCAAATTTTAACACAATTTCATATAGACATCTACTTTTTCCTCTATTTAAACATGTTTTGAATTCCAGCTGCAACAGGCGCATACGCACAGATGTTTATTTCCTGATATATCTTTTCAAATTCTCCTAAGAAATATCTGAAAGTGTTTCAAGTCAGGGATGTTTCTGAGACATGTATTTAAGCAAATAGTTAATGTGAACTGTGTCTTTATTTGCAGGTCTCAAAGAATCCTTCGCTAAACCCCATCCTCCACCTGAAAGTAAGTGAATGGCAGTTATTTGGTTTATAGATTTGCCAAATTCTACTGGGTGTCTGCTGAGCCTGTAATCTTCTTGAACTACAGCTTAAGAGTGGGCTGAGATCACCAGGGTTTCTGCACAACTTCAAAGCTCCCTAAAGCAGAACTGTGACTCTCAGACTGAACAAATGTCGCCAGGCTGTGTGCACAGCTTTGAAGCTCCTTGAACCAAAGCCATTTGTTTCGGAGAGTTTACAAATTCAGTTAGGCATATCTAGAGCACATGAAAATTCTAAAACGTATCAGCTATTTTTTGGAGTAAGTAGAACTTCAGTGATCAAAAATCTGTGTTGTTGTTGTTGTTATTGTTTTTACAATCATCTTACACTACCAAAACCAATTCCATCTGCTTGCTATCATTAAAATTTGTAAACAGAAACAAGTTTCTAGACCGTATTTAACAAGAAGAGGCCCTGTGAGATTATATGTAGCAGCTTCACTGCAAGGACAAAGTCCCTTCATAGGAAAAGTTCCTTGCCTAATTGACATTCAAACAGTCATTAAAAAATTTCACCAGTAGCTGGAGAAGGCACACAAGATTTTAATTTTCAGAAGTTTATATGTAGTTACTAATCAATTTTAATCTGGAAGTGAGATACTGTCTTAAGCATAATGTGTACAACAGCGTAAAGACAGATGGAATATTTCTCGTTAACACAGAGACCTGGGTGGACTTGTCAGCAGGAGAAAGTGGGTTTTCTCTTATGTAAGTAATTAGGTCACCAATTACTGTCCGTAACACTCAACCTGAATCCTGCAACAGAGTTAAGGACCATACCCAACCTCCTGGTCAGGTGCCACAGATGCAACATCAGAGCCTTCTCTCATGTCAAATGGTGACAACATTATTCTGTCCTTTATTGAACAAATGTTAGTTTATGTTAATGACATATTTACTTATCTTTTACATATTCATAAATAATTAAGTTCTCAGAACTTCCAGAAATAGATCAGCTTTACTTGAGGAATGCTGAGAATTATAATGAATCTTCTCAAGGATTATCAGCTGCAGCCAAAATGAATTACAAAGAAAGGGTAAAAATACTCTGATTTTATCTATATCTTTCATACCCTGGCAATTGTATCAAACGGGGAGTTGGGAGTGGATCAGGAAGAGAGCTCCTAATTTCCTTCTGACATTTCTGTTTTCTGTTGTTCCGTTCATTCATTCCTTACCCCATCTTTCCTTTGCTTCTAGTACTTCTCTCCCTCCACACATTTCCTTTAAGGGATTTTTGTTCTTTCTATTCTTGTCTTGGTAGCTTTCTCATTTTCATTATCAGTGCTTTGTTTCCTTCAGTTTTCATCTGTTCTTTTGCCCTTTCTCTTCCCAGTTTTATTTTGACTACACAGCTACCGCTGCATATTACATTCTTAAGAAACACACTTTTGAATCAAGCCTTTAACCTAAAGCAGGAGACAAAATTGATTGGCTTTCATCTTATGTAATAACAAAAGATCACAAACTTCGGCCTGAAAATAGGAACATTATTTGTTATGGTAGAGCAGTCAGAACTAATTTAACCTCTCTGGATGCTTCAGAGGGACACTCTGAGGAACCTTATTTGAGGAAGAAACAGAGCCATATCCTAAAATCAGTTTCTTCTGCCTTTGTGTTTTCAGGACAAGGTTTTTGCCAAATGCAGTCTTGTCTTTGGCTATAATACATCTCACTCATTCTGACTTAAACTGGTGTATTGCTGCTGGGTACAACTAATATGCTAGCATTATACGAAGTCCCACTGTATTTGCAAAAGCTTTAAAATAATTAAAAATTAGCTTTTTGTGCAATAAATATATCACTTCTATAAGCAATCTATGAAGGTGACTCGCATCTCTTACAAGATCTCTTACAAGCAGAATTGTTTTCAAGGAGGACAACTTTTTCATTCCTCTCATATGTGAGGCTATTGATTACTCACAAAAACCACACAGGCTTATTCCCATTTTCCCAAAAGTGATATTGCACACAGCCATGCCTGAATATTCACTCCTTTCTGCCATCTTCACTGAGTGAACCAATATCATGAATACAGACAGTGGCTTGTGACATTCTGATCTGGAGTTTACAGCTGCCAGGCTGGCCACAAAGCTTGACAACTGTGGTAATTCTGTATGGAAACTAGGAGCAGAAATACAGTGCCCTGGGAGGAGAGGGGCAACATAAGCCTTTGTTCTGACAATTGTAACTAAATGCACAATAGCCATTTACATTATAGCCTGTGTATCTCCTGCATCTCATCACCATAATATTAGTGCTAGGTATTGCTAAGAGAATCTAAGAAGTTCCCCGACCTCCTTGTGCAACTGGCAGGTTGCTCTCATGGTTTGTTGCCCAGCTAAGCACTCAGGAACATGTTAAGCTTCATCAGAATAGAGGCTACCTTCCATTTCTTGCTAACACAATGGGTACTTTGAAATGCAAGAATGGTCTTCATGAGCTCTCACTGCTACTGATCATAACATCTCTATTTCAATCTGCAACTGATACATATCATAAAAATAACTTTGTGTGTAACCTGTATTTCTGTTCAGTGTATGAACTCTCACGAATTATGTTTCTCCATCTTTTGGGGCCAGTGCATTAGTGTTGAGTGGTCAATGCATATCACTGATTTGTCTTACAGATTCGTGTTTGTGGAATGACTGCTGCCTGAAAACAGTAAAACCTGCCTGGCCACAAGGAGTTCATGACAGAGCATGCAGGTTGTGGTTTTGGAGGTTAAAAGATGAAAACTGACCAGAGAAAGGGGCTATTCATCAGGAAATGGAGGCATGACATCAGCAACTGAAAAGTAAAAACCTGAAATTGTTCTTATAAAAATAGAAGCATAGCACACGTCTCAAGTACTCAGTGTTTTGCTACTAGGAGCACTTCAGCAACTTGTCTCGCAAAGCTAAGAAATGAACGTTGTTAAAACTGTGCCATTCTGTGTACGTGACTTCAAAAACTACATAAGTACGAGCAACAAAAGTGACAATTTTGAGAAGCCACAGTCCTCCAGGAGGAAATGACTGCCATGAGAATGACTTCAGAGGAATACACACTTGGGGCTGAAGTGGCAGCAGAGATTTCTATACAGCAAAGATAATGCAGATCCATATATACAAAAATATTTTTAGTGGCAGAAATCTTTTGACTGGCATTAAAATATACTTACTTGGCTTTCCATTTTATATCACCAGTATACAGATCAGCTAATACTAAGCCTGCATTTTTGAACACAGAATAGAGTTCACATTTAACTGTAAGGCATCACCGCACTCTGCTACAAATGCCTATTTGTTGAGCATGATTTATGGAATGTAGTGCAAGCCATAGGAAGAACAAATTAAACACTGCAAATATTCATTCTCACTTCAATTCTAAGGATTTGCAGCTGTTATGCGACACAGTACCCAAAAGAATGCTATAAGCAGAATGCGGGAAGCTATCGCATTGATTGTATGAGCTAGAACATAGATCTTGAACAGCAGAAGGCATAGTTAGCTGCTAGCCAAGGTGAAACTGATTTCAGTCTTTGCTCTTTGGAGCAACAAGAGCTACTGCAGAGGCTGTAGTTTGCCTGGATTCTTATTAAGGGCAAGTGGGCCAGGCCCCAGTATGCGAAGGAGTGGGCACAAGTAACCTCTGATCAGTTACAGACGGGCAGTGACAGATTCTAGAGAAAAATTCAGTCTTCCTGAAAACATTTTAATGACTCTTACTTATATAGCAAGCTGGAGCAGATTCTCAAGCTGTTTTCAAACTTGTCTGCAGCTGAGACGTAGTCTCATCTAAAACAGTGCTGCATTAATTCTGCATCAGATTTTTGAAGAGGTTTAGCTAACACTATGAAGTTTTTTGGGGGGGGAGACACAGTAGAATTGGTCACATCTGTACTTTGACCAGAACACTCAGATTACCAGCCTGACTTTGTGAATAGAGACAGGAAATATATTCTCACTAAATCCTGGTATCTCCACGCACGAAAAGAGGCCTTTGCTACACTGTTAAGAGTTGGTCCTTATTCTGAGCAAACCTGACAGCTCTCCTCCATGCCTGACCCCTGGCAGCTTCCATCTGCAACTGTTCTCCAGGAGTTCTCCATCACTTTAAAGGAAGCAAACAAGCATCTATCCCATTCCACGACCAGGAAAACTGAGGCACTGCAAGTGCTTCTTCATATGGAAACTTCTAGTCGAAAAGGAAAGATGTGCGTGATCTGCAAAAAGAAACTAAACAGTGCAGCACCTGAGGCTGCAGGAAGTGCTGATGTCAAAGCCCCGAACCGAAGTCAGGCCCCTTGCCCAATCTGCAAAGCACACATCCCCTCGCCCCGGGGATCCATGGCTCAGAGCGCAGTGCCACACAGGCCGGCAGAGCCACCCCTGCCCCAGCGCCCACACTGCAGCCAGCTGTGCGGGGAACCTGATGGTGGCTGCTGGGCGCCGTACTGTGCGTGCAAAGAGGAGGAGGTGGGGAAGCGAGGAGAAACCCAGCGAGCGCTCTGTGAAGGCAGTGAAACGCTGCGCTCCCTGGGTTCACACGGGATTCGCTGGAAGCTCCATCCAAGTGGCGACCGGTGAAAACTACTTAATTTACAACATAAAGAGAGGGGGAAAAAAAAAAAAAAAAAAGGCAGAGGTAACATGGCTGCATTCGGAGGCACGAGTAACGCTCTTCCTCACAGCCGGAGCGACACGAACATCCTTACGTCTTTCTCCAAAAGCGGACAGGGACCGCAGCATAACCTTCCCAAAGCGTTACCCCGACCGCCTTCGTCACGCCGGCCGCGATCGGCGAGAGGTCCCGGGGCCGCCTTACGTAACTCCGTGCCCCGAGCCGCCCTCAGCACACGGGCAGGCGGCTCCTCACGCCCTCCGCGTGCGGATCGGGGCGGCCCGGCCTGCGCGGAGCCGAGCTGCCGCGGAAACTTTGCGCCGCGGGGACCGCGCGCTCCGAGCCCCGCAGCCGGCGGGGAAGTTGCACCGAGCTCGGGCGGTGGCCTCTGGGGGCGGAGGGGCGGCAGCGGGGGCTGCGCAGAGGGGACTCACCCATGGTGGTGGCGCCGCGGCGGCCTCCTCCTCCTCCTTCCCCTGCTCCCGGAGCCGCCGCCGCCTCTCGGGGAGGCGCGGGAGAGCCGTGCGCGGAGCGGAGCGGGGCGAGCGCGGCAGCGGCGCGGAGGCTGCGTGCGGCTCGGCTATGAGTCAGGGTAGCACATCCGGGCAAGGCCGCCTGGGAGACACCCCGCCCGCCCGGCGGCACCCTGCCGTGCCGCTGCCGCCGCCGGGGAGGGGCGGGCGGGTACGGAGAAGGCGGTGCGGGGCCGGCCCGGCCCGGCCGCGGGAGGGGCGGGGAAGGAGTGAGACGAGGGCGGTGCCGGCGGGGGTTGCGGCGGTCCCGCGCCGCCTTTGTTAGCGGGGCTGAGGGCTGGCGGTGTGGCGGTGTGGAGGATGGGGTTGTTGGCGAGGTCCTCGGGCTCTGTCTGGCGGCCTTTTGCGCGAAAGGAGGGCTGAGCCGGGGGGCGAGCGTTGTGAGATGGGCCCCGTGAGCTCAGATCAGCGGAGGAAGGGCAAATTGCCATTGCCTTAAGCCGTGCGTTTTGCTGAAGCGATGCTGGGAACTGCGCGGCCGAAAGCGAAAGGCTTCTGCCCGCGGTTGTTGTGTGCGGAGGACATTTTTAACAAGAAAATGAATCTCTCATTCCCCCTTCCTCTCTGCCCTGGGATGTTCAGTTTTTGTAGCACAGCAAGCAGTCGCGAGCTCTTTGCTTTGACAGTCCTCGCGTTGTATCGCTTTCATAGGGAGTCTTTGTGTTAACAATGTGGAAACATTCTGAGCGTCTTTGCTTTCTTCAGTTCTTTCCTTATTCACAGTTTTACTCGAGTAAATGCCACGGTGTGGTTGGACAGAGTAGGACGAAAGAGTCAAAGTCTTGTTGCTCCATAGGCATGGGCAGCGGGTACAGCAAGGATGAGCGAGGAGAAAAAAGGAGCTGCAGCTGAGTCAGCCCCGCGGTGCACGAGTGGCAGCCGGCAGCTTCCGAGGGGTCCTCCATGGGAAAGGGCTTGGAAGCTTTTGTACCTGAGAAGGGGCAGCAAAGAATCAGCAAAGGGACAAGCAAAGAATCATTTGCCGTCTTTTCCTCTTGTGCAGCACAAGAGGAATGCTCTCGTTTGTCCATTTACACTGGTGTAGCCGTGCGATTCACCACGTCTTTGCTTCTGACATCAGCCGGATTTTGCAGCTGACTTCAGTGGGCTTAACCACTGTCCCTTGGTGCAGAACTTGATCCTGAAGATACTTAGCTTTATGCTCAGTTGATGTTGAAAATGACCGTGTTTTTACTATGGTTATACAACTGAAAGGCTTCATTGCATTGAGACTGCAGAAAATTTGTTCAAAGCAGAACACGTTTGTGCTTTGCCTGCAGAGTTTGCCTAATTCAATCTCTAATAAAATACAGCAGTTCTTAGATGAATCTCAGTGGTGAAAAGTCACTGACTTCAACTATTTTAAAATCAAGCCTGAACTTCATCTCTTACATTTTTGCTTCCTTATTTCCTTCTGTTGATAAAAGCTTTTCCTTTGTCTTTATAACCATCCCCCAAATGTTTCCTTCTCTTGTCTGGGTAAAAAGGCAGTGAAATTCTGTTGTCATTAATCCATCTCTGAGGGATCGTGGAGGACATTGTCCCACATATTGTTTCATCTTATCATTCATTTGTACCTGGGGTAGATAAGAGCATTCTGTAAAATTTTTGGGTTTCATGGGTGTACTTGTGTGTCTAAACTGAAGCAGACAACAATCTTCGCAAGGCCCAGAAAGGTAACCTGCTCTGAGAGAGGATTTTTGGAACAGTGGCTTCCAAAGGGTTCTGCTTCTGAGAAATTGCCAGTAAGAGGCCTGGTACTACGGAACTTCTTTGATTATTGCTGTTTTTAGCAGATCCAAAGGTACTGCCCAAAACTTGGGTGACCTTTTACTGTTTGGACTGAATATTAATTGTAGGAGAGAAAGAAAGCCCCGAAGGAGTTGAGGTCTTGATTTTTTTCAAGTTCTCAGATACAAGTTTACAACAGAACAATGGTAGTGATGTGTGGGGGGGAAAAAAAACAAACAAAAAAAAAAGGGCAATATATTGCAAAAGGGTGAGGAGACTTTAGTAGAGGAATTTCCATCTCCAAGAGTGTACAAAGGAAACCTTTGTGCCATCAGGCTTTTTAGATACCATAGCTGTAAACAACAATATGCTAAATCAGTGCAGTGTATTTTTTTTTATGAGATAAGCAGCTGTATAGTATAATGCAGTGATGCCTGTGAGAATATTTTGTTAAAATGATGATATCCTTGATGTATTCATCAAGGAAAAAATTAATTAAAAAAAATTTTTTTTTAGAAAAACTGGGAATTGGAAGCAATGTGACATTTGCAGAAGAAACGAGGAAGAAAACTGTATGAGCAAAGCAGTTAACTAGTTATGTCTCTGTGCTCCCAAGTACTGACTATATCTGATGTTCTGCAAGAAAATTGGGTCAAAGTGACTTTCCAGTGCTTACTACATCATGAATTCTCAGTCTCACATCTTGCATCAGATTCACATTCTCAGCACATCTTCTCACCCCTGACAGAACATCTCCTTGAAAATCTTCTCACATGCAGTATCTAATTTAATTTGGCACAAAGGTGCATGTAAGGAATATCTTCTGATTACCTCTGTACCAATGTTAGAAACCTGCATGATCGGCAAGAGGATGTTGGGATGCTCAAATACACGGGGAAATATGATATGGTTGATATTTCCATAATTTAGTAGAATTTGGATCATCTGACAGGAATAGGCTATTATAAATTGTTCCATAGGAAAAGGAGGACAAAGAGAGAAATGCTGGTAGTGCTTTACTTGCTTCCTACAAGGGGCACAAGCAACACTCCGAGTCCTGGCACTGTGAGAAATTTAAGTTCTTGTAGAACTAGAGGTGGAGATATTGCAGTGCTGTCTGTGAACTCACACTTGGAAACCAGGGCAAGCCATTTCTTCAGGTCTTCCTGTAATACATGAATGGGAAGATGATGACAAAGTATGATCAGGGAGAGTGTTCACAAGGCTGACTCGACGTTTTCTAGCTATTTGCTGTCCCTGAAAGCAAGTTGCCTCATATTTTCCATGGGGCAAGAACAGTTGTTAATACAGAAACTAACATGTGACCTTGTCCTGTGATAACTCATTCATGTTCCCATATCCAGTGTGTAAGTATTTGTGATAATGTCTTACTGGCAAGTGCTGGAAGTTGAAATTAGAGTACACCAACCTTGATGTAAGGTGAAGTTTCATAGCTGTAAGTGAAATTTAAATATCAGAATCACTGACCTGGAAAAGTGAAAGCTGAGAAACTCATGTTTATTTGTTTGTTTTCACATGCAGCTTAGTTATTGTTCAAAAAGCATAACTTTACTTCAGCTGAAGGAATATACTGCACGTGTTGTATGAGAGAGTGCATGCACTGCTAGTCAAGCTCAAATATTGCAGAAACCCTTTCTGGCCTGAAAATCTGTGTCTTTCTGAATTGATAGTGCCTCCCTCTTTCTTCTCAATTGCTAGGGAAAGTAATAAGGCCCATTGATGGTACATTTATAACATACAAAGGCAGTAACAGTAGGATAGTTTTATTTCTCAGAGCGGCGGGAGGTTTCCTACACAAGGAGTCTTCTCCTCCTTCCCATCAAACATAGCTTGTC